ATATATTAAGGTGGACTGAACGTGGTTTGGCTGGAGAGTGTAAAGTATGTAGTTCTACCTCCATCTGACTAATAACAGCAGCCTCAGAAATGAAAATAGCAGCAGCAGAGGTCAGTAATAACGCTGTCATAACGTCATAACCCTGTAATAACTCTGTAATAACGCTGTAATAATGCTGTCATAACATCATAACCCTGTAATAAACCTGTAATAACGCTGTAATAATGCTGTCATAACCCTGTAATAACGCTGTAATAACGCTGTAATAATGCTGTCATAACATCATAACCCTGTAATAAACCTGTAATAACGCTGTAATAATGCTGTCATAACCCTGTAATAACGCTGTATTAATGTCATAACCCTGTAATAACCCTGTAATAACGCTGTCATAACCCTGTATTAACGTCATAACCCTGTAATAACGCTGTATTAACATCATAACCCTGTAATAACGCTGTATTAACGTCATAACCCTGTAATAACCCTGTAATAACCCTGTAATAACGCTGTATTAATGTCATAACCCTGTAATAACCCTGTAATAACGCTGTCATAACCCTGTATTAACGTCATAACCCTGTAATAACGCTGTATTAACATCATAACCCTGTAATAACGCTGTATTAACGTCATAACCCTGTAATAACGCTGTATTAACGTCATAACCCTGTAATAACGCTGTAATAACGCTGTCATAACCCTGTATTAACGTCATAACCCTGTAATAACGCTGTAATAACGCTGTCATAACCCTGTATTAACGTCATAACCCTGTAATAACGCTGTATTAACGTCATAACCCTGTAATAACGTCATAACATCGTAATAACGCTGTAATAACGCTGTAATAATGTAATAACCATGTAATAACATCATAACCCTGTAATAACCCTGTAATAACGCTGTCATAACCCTGTAATAACCCTGTAATAACGTCATAATAACGCTATAACAACGTCATAATCCTGTAATAACCCTGTGATAACGCTGTATTAACGTCATAACGCTATAATAACCCAGTAATAACGCTGTCATAACCCTGTATTAACGTCATAACGCTATAATAACCCTGTAATAACGCTGTATTAACGTCATAACGCTAAAATAACCCAGTAATAACGCTGTCATAACCCTGTATTAACGTCATAACGCTATAATAACCCTGTAATAACCCTGTATTAACGTCATAACGCTATAATAACCCTGTAATAACGCTGTAATAACGTCATAACCCTGTAATAACGCTGTAATAACGTCATAACCCTGTAATAACGCTGTCATAACCCTGTAGTAACGTCATAACATCGTAATAACGCTGTAATAACACTGTAATAACGCTGTAACAACAACATAACCCTGTAATAACCCTGTGATAATGCTGTATTAACGTCATAACCCTGTAATAACCCTGTGATAATGCTGTATTAACGTCATAATCCTGTAATAACCCTGTGATAACGCTGTATTAACGTCATAACGCTATAATAACCCAGTAATAACGCTAAAATAACCCTGTATTAACGTCATAACGCTATAATAACCCTGTAATAACGCTGTCATAACCCTGTAATAACATCATAACGCTATAATAACCCTGTAATAATGTCATAATAACGCCATAATATCGTCATAATCCTGTAATAACCCTGTAATAACCCTTTAATAACATCATAACCCTGTAATAACGCTGTAATAATGTCATAATAACGCTGTAATAATTAATGCTGTAATGACATAACGCTGCAATGTAAGCTACATTTATATGAAGTAACATTAAATATCTGCATTTTATTACTACCTACTTGTTTGGATTGTTAAATACTTTAAGTACCAAGTAGTCACACAGAAAAATACATTTTTATCCTTTTCGTTTTACAGTTGCATCGTAGCCTTATAATAGTAATGAGGTGCATAGACGTTCCCACCCTTGAGGTGCTGCATTGTGATGCATCGCGATATCGTATCGAATCATTGACCTGATAATCATAATCTAATTCAATCGTGAGACCAGTGAAGATGCACACCCCTACAAAATACTCACTTGTGTAATAATTGTGCGCACAGTGTAATGGTCTGTTCATCACTGATTAACAATAATTAAATCAGTGATGAAGGCTCCTCTGACCACAGCGACAGAAAACAGCCCAACACAAACGAGAAGCCTTTAAACTTGCTAAAAAGCCTCTGTGGGTTTGAGCGACACCTTTCATACTAAACACAGTCTTTGGATCCATAGAAATATTGATTAGCGCTGTTTTGAAGGCAGCAACGCATGCTAGAGTTTTCCACATCCAGCTGCTAACACTGACGCAGTTTCATGCGTGTGTTTCGGAGGCTTTATAGGATCAGGTTTTCTGTGTAGCCATGTTAGGCCGAGGTCACATCACACCACGATGAGCCACGATGACTGCAGCATCAACGACTCTTCCAGCGTAGAACTACAAAATGAGACCCTTTTTATTACATTACAGAAGACGAAAATGGATTTGACCTTCAAAGACTCACAAAAATGAAATCATATCCTCCCTTAAAAAGGAACCCAACCGCTAGTTAACTCAGACAGCAGATGCATCCGTCCGGCCCACATCACAGCTTCATCACTGATTCATCAGCGAGTGTGCGATGAGCCGCTGGGAGCTGACGTTCAGACAAACAAACAGGGATGTATTTATCTTGCACATTTTGTCTCTCCAAACATGTCATCACATTTGTAATCATGTTGATCATGATGCCATTCATTTACACCGTTTTGAATTAAAAATATATATATTTTTGACATCTCCTCCAAGCCCGTGCCTCCAACGGCCACCACATTTTCAGGTTTATTATAAGCTATAAAAATCTTGTTGATGTCTCATTTAGTTTTCCAAGATATTGAGCAATAAACTTTGAGAGGGGGGCGTGGCTCAGGACATACATGGACGAATATCAGCAACAGTTTGTGCGTGAGACACAGCTTGTTAACTTTCACTCATATCAGCAACTAGGAGGCGCAACAAATACAAAAAATGACACATATCGCACAATAAATCAGAAACCGTTTGCCCGAGGTTTGAAATTATTTTGAAATCGCTATGGCGCACAAACGTTTGAAGCCGCAAAATCGCAGCTTGCAGATATATTAATCTGTATAATGTACGACAGCCTCTGTCCTTAGACTCTCGATCCGGAGCGGCGATATCTCATTGCAACAATGTGAATCACTCACAGAGGAGCTGTTTTCCTCTGCAGCCTCTTCATCTACAGATGTCACAAAACTTAAGGACTTAATATCTCCTGCAGCTCTCTGAAGAGACTGTCCTGGTACACGAGGTGAGAACAGCAGGGGCTGCAATAATTTAATTTCATCACCAGTAACGGGATAATTATGTTGGAAAGTCTAAAGGTTGTTTTCTCAAGGTAACAAGATGATTACTGCATTATTATGAGAAGACGAACACAGCCGTCCAGAAATAACAAGATCATTCAATTAGTCTTCAGCCGCACCAGAACGCACTTCTGATGTCGTTAAGAGCATACTGCTCCAGTTAATGAGGGATACGTCTCCCATTCGCTTGAGAAAAACACCTGGTATTTTTTTGAGATAACGAGATGATTAACCTGCAACCTCAAGCTAACAGGTTGAAATAAATCTACTGCAGTAATGAGGAGGTTCAGCAGTTCTGACGTCAAATCCTTTGGATCTCCGTCTTTCAGTTCCGACACCTTCTTCTTCTTCTTTACAGTTTAAAGTTGTGAATGTGGTGAAAGCAGCTAATTTGAGCTGGTTTGTTGGTCCATCTGTAGCGCAGCATGACGGGCTGTGTGTCAGCCTGTGACTCACCGCGAACACGAGAGGTTCAATCAGTCCGAGTCCGAGCTCTCAGAGCTGCACAACAGAGCAGAAAACAAAGCAACGACACGGAGAGTTTAACCACAGAGGGTCAAGCAGGGAACAACCCCGCTTTGAAAAACACTTCAAATCAAGTGACAAAGCAAACTGAATAACAACATTTATTAAAGGACAAACAGCACATTATTAATCCTGAACCCAGGTGGTAAACTGTTGATTCTGTCAAGCGCAAAAAACACAAAAACAAGTCTCTAATTAAGGCAGATAAAAACCAGTAATGACAAGAGCTCTCCCAGTAAATTCATCTATCAATCAATGAAGGAGTAATATGTCTGCTGACAGGGACAGGTGGACAGCATGGGCTGCTTCTGTCTTCTTCTGTTTTCACGTGACTCCGAAGCCGCTTGACATTCAGAACGAGGCAGGAAGTGAGAGGCAGAGTGGACGAGGTGGAGGAAACCTGTGCTGGTTGCTGTTTACTTTTTGTGTCGTCCCTGGCAACATGTGACATGTTCTTTACTTACAATGGAAAGACGTGAAGATGAGCGGAGCCATTTACCGGTTAATGTCTTTTATTGAATTAACTTTTTAATTGAAATTTTGGGTTTTAAAAATCCACTTGATCTGAGTATCCAGTGGATCATCACCTCGTATCCCACCATATCCTATTAAACATCTCAACACATGTAAGTAGAGCTGCAACGATTAGACGAATATTCAATTAGTCAACAGCTATTTTGATAATCAATTAATCGTTTCAGGCATTTTTTAAGCAACAGTATGAAAAATTTGCTGATTTCTTTCTCCTTAAATTGAGGAATTGCTGCTATTCTTTGTCATTTATGAAAGTAAATGAAGAGTCTTTGGGTTTTGGACTGTTGGTTGGACCAAAGAAGCAATTTGAAGACTTGGATCTTACAGACTTACCAATTGGTCGATTAATCATGAAAATAGTCGTCAGATTAGTCGATAATCAAAATAATCGTTATTTGCGTAATCTGGGGCGAAGCGAGGTCAATGCATTCATGTTTGGACTACAACAAAGATGGCAGCAACATTCGAGTCTTATCACAAACATTAGCCAAACACACTCAGTATGATCGAACGGTCACTGGGGGGACATTTGAAATAAATAATAAACAGTAACAAAGTGGGAGAGACTCACGTGGATGTTGCGGAGCTTCCTCCTGCCTCTCTCCAGCCGACTCAGCAGTCTCAGGTGTGGCTGCTCTCCGTCAGCCGAAACCGTCTTCCTCAGGGCCGCCCGGTCGCTGGCCCACGCCGCCCCACCTCCTCCGGCCGGGGGGAGGCTCCTCGCACCCCTACCTCCTGCAGCAGCCGCCGCGCTCACCCCCGACACGGGAGACGGATCAGGTGACCAGAAGTCGCGCTGCACCGAACCTGGATGGCAGAAACCAGAGACGCTCTGCTGTAATTGTACACCTGTACAAGTACACAGAAAGTACAGCAGCAACCTGCGTTAAGAATCTTCTTCATGCTAGTGAGCAGATTTGAAACCTGCATGTGATTATAGGCAAATGGACTTACATCCATTTCTTTCATGTTTTAATACAGCCAGGTGATAATTAAAGATTATTATTTATCACATTTCAGCAAAATCCTGTCATGATATTAATCAAATCTGTTCCTGTCCAATAACTCTGAATAGAACGTCAATAAAAACTTAGTAATAAAGAATCCCTTTCTATTCGACACCATGAAATAACGTGTGATAATACAGAACTGAAATACCGAGAGATGCTTTGAACATTGGTTCATGTCCACATAATAACATAGTAGTATTCATAGAGACGGATTCTACTTTGTAAAGCAGAGACAGAAACGGTCAGTCAGATGAGATTTAAAATATGAAAGTGAAAAGCAGCAGCAGGTTGGAGAGACGGGCGCTGACGACAGAACGGGTTTCAAAACGTCAAACTTGAGCTTCGCTGTGTAGCTTCAACACAGAACCTCCATCTTGTTCTGCTGGTTTCACGTTCCCATTCATTCAGGGTGTGTGTGTGAGCGATCAGGTGTCGGCTGCTGGCCAGCTGACTACCTGAGCTGCTGCATTAAAACTACATGAGGAGTTACCTCTGCAGTTACGCCGCCAACTGACGCCGTTACGCGGTGGGTTCCAGTGTGTAGAGCTTCTTCTTCTTCATTGGTCACAGCTTTTGTGGCAGGGTACGGCGTAGAGTACCAACTAAAAATGGTCTGAGTAGTAAACTGAAATTCTCGCTGATCACACGTAAAATAAAACACCACCAAACTGTCGACACTTCAGTATTTCCCTCCACACGGCGACTGAAACATTGAAATGAAGCATTTTATTCTGACGTGTTTTTGTGCAGAAGTAGAAAAGTAAAAGTCTCCCTGAAGGCTTTTAGTCCTTTTAATGTTTTATTGCTCTGTACGTGCAATAAAACATTGAGCTTCTCCTTCTATCTCTGCTGAAAGTAAACATTTACAGTAGTGAACATCTTCTCTGCAGATTTTATTTAAATAGTTTAGGACAAAATCATTTCTTCTCACTGTTTTATGATTCATGTTGTTTCACCTGCTGAGCTTTAAACTTTGATCAAATCATCTCCAGCTTCAATGACCAGCAGAGAGAGTAACAGTAACATGACCCGATCGGGTCATTTTGTGTCTATAAAAGATATTCTGTTGAGTTCTGACAGTGAATGATGCCCTGAAGAGGAAACCCATTGAACACAGACATGCAGTCAAACAGGGGAGCTTTAAAAGATGCAATAAACTGAGACGCAGAATATTTTCACTTCTCACTCGCAGATTTAAAGGTTTATTTACACACTGAAGCGGAGCTGGTGGTTGTTGGAACCGTGGAAAGACTTCAGGGTTTTTTAGTTCAGTTCAGAGTCATTAGTTTGGTGAAGGAGTGAAATTTGAGTTCAGAAGCTGTACGGTTGTGTTTTTCTGTTTGATAAGGAAAACAGATCAAAGATTATCTCCTTTCTGACATCTTGAGTTTATTTTGGATTATTTATACAGCTAAAAGAGTATTCATAGGTGGAGATTTCTGCTGAAAAAAGAAATTTTTTAAAGTTATATCTGACGTTGACCAAACTAAACTGACGGCACTTCATCCGTCAGGCAGCCATTAGAGACAGAGAGAGGAATTAATACATTTTAAGAAACAGAGTCATCTCAATAAATATTTAAATTCTTAATAATTTAGTCGTAAGTTTAAAAAACATTTACTCTTAAAATCTGTCTGACTTTATGCATTTAGCTTGAATCATTGAGCCAAAGTTCCCACTGATAATAGTTTTAATATATATACACACTGAGATAAAGGGCAGACAGGGCAGTGTGTCTGGGTCAGATCATGAAGGCTCAGACCAGGACCGACTCCTTCCTCACACAGCTGGAGTCACAGCTCCCTCTGCTGGACACCGGTCAGCATCCAACTCACATCCAGACACATCCAAGAAATCAGGCTGAAAACCAGCGCTGCAGCCACAACAAGCCCGCACTGCACTTGACTTCTTGGAGCTCTGCGTTGCTCCGCTCGGTCGGGACGCTGCTGCCCGTTTAGCAGCAGTTATGGATTTAATCTTCACGAGACTTCGTTATAAAAAAATAAAAAAAAACACACAAACATGCCGAACAGCACAGCTACAGCACAGAGACCTGAGAGCTCTTGCGCTGACGGCTTGGAACGCAGACCACCTGCTTGATCCGGGATGGTGATGGGGTCCAGGTCTCTGTAAAGATGGGGGCGCAGACGTCTCTGAATTCCGTTGTTTGATCAATATGAGTCTAATTTTGTCCAGACCGACTCCTCATGAGCAGAATTAAGTCCAAGCTGGGCCAGCATGGCTCCTCACCTGGCTCTCTTTCCTCTCCTGTGACCCACGTGGCGTCTGGTCCGGTTGTTTGGGCCGGGTGGATCGTGGTCCGCTGCTCTTTAATCCAAAAACCCCGTCTTTATCTTCAAATGACTGTACTTACGCCAGAGGTAACACCCCTCAAACTACATGATCATCCAATAATCTGTTCTGACAGCCTCGCTCCCTCTACTGAAGGGAAGATCGGCCCGGTTACCCTTTAATGTTCGGCCAGCGTTAGTTGAAGGATAAATGATGTTTATTTTTCAAGCTATGAATTTCTGCTGTAGGCTTAAGTTAACCACAGCATTATAACTAGAGCTGCAACGCTTATTATATTAGTCTTCTATTAAATTAGTCAGAATTAATCCAGTTTGATAATCTATTAATAATTTTTTAAGAAAACAAAAACTCTGATTCTGGCTCCTCAGATGTGAATATTTTCTGGTTTCTTTGCTCCTACACGACATTAAACTGAATATCTTTTGGACTGAGGTATTGCGGGACGTCACCTTGGGCTTTTGGGAAACCTGATAAACATTTTTCACCATTTTCTGTCATTTTATTGAGCAAACAACTAATCGATTAATCCAGAAAATTATCTACAGGTAAAATCGATAATGAAAATCAGAGTTAGTTGCAGCTTTAGTTATAACATCATCTCAACATCACAGCCTGGCTGAGAGGGAGTTTGGGCTTTTAGGGAGGGGCGGGGCCAACGCCGTAAAGGCAAGGGGGGCGCTGGATTTATGACACAAGACAAAACCAGAGCATCTCTGGGGAACGGTGTGCAGCACAATAATGGTTTTATCTTGTTTTCATAAATCGCTGGCAGCCAGAATCAGTGATTGTACATAAAAGTGGATGAATCGCCCAGCCCTATTTCAAAGCAGCCTTCAGCCCTCTGAAGATTAATCAGATGAGACAGTCTGAGAGGGAAATCCACTCGGTGGTTAACACGGGCGCAGTTCGCAGCCTGTGGTGCTTTGTTTAAAAGGTCACGAGCTAAAAAAGGTTGATGTAGTTTATGATTTTAACAACACTGAGCAACAGAGACGGAGACGATGAGCCTGTAATCTGTAATCTGCTCTACAGGAAGCTCGTTATCATTCTCCAGAAGGGTGGAGCTAAAGGACGCTCTGCTAACACAGGAAGTGTAAACAAGAGTCAGAAACATTCCTGACATGACGGCACGTCCACCACCTCACGCCCGACTGTAGGTTCAGGAGCTCAGAGTTGAGAGGTAACAGGTTCATGTGGAGGCTGCTGAACTATAATATAAGCGGTGTTTCTGATATATCTGAACGTGGAGGTACGTTTTGTTTGCCGCCAGCTAAAATTAGCATCCCAGCTAATTTCATAATTAACATAAATTACAGATGCTAGCTAGCTCCACCCTCTCATCTAAATATGGTCACGATCAGTGTCTGGTTGCAGAAAGAAAAAATAACTAAAAAAATCAAGATGGCGACGGCCAAAATGTCAAACTGGATACTTCTAAAACAGCAGCCCGGGTGATGTCATGGCGGTTAGGTCCATTTCTTTTACACCGTCTCTGGCTGTGTGCCAAACAGCCAAAAATGCTGTCTAACAGGACGGCGAGGCATCGAATGCTGTTCGAAACAGATCCAACGACCTTTTCCTGTCTGGTAAGATGCCTTTAAACTGCCCTCGTCACGGTAAGTTTGAAGGTCACCAAAACCTGACAAGATGGCAGAAACAGAAACTGAATTTGTATTCAAATCTAAGTTTTTAAAAGTTCTGAGTGACAGGAACCAACCAAAGATTGTTTGGTCTGATTTCTGAGGCGTCTGTTGGCCGTTTTCTAAGAAGAGAAGCAAGATGGCGTGCTGATGTCACATCGCCGTGAGGGCTGATTGAACAGAGCCAAAACCCCTCCTCTGTCACCGTTGTCTGTGATTGGCTGTAGACGGCGACGCCCCGCAGTCGGTTCTTACCTGCAGAGTTCCAGTGGAGTCCTCCAGGACTGGCAGCGAGCCGCCGCCGCTTCCTGATGCTGACGCCGCTCTGGGAGGCGGAGTCTTTGGCTGACGTCCCTGAGCTCTGCACGGCGGCGGCAGGCGTGGAGGAGAGGACGGGGAGGAGGGACGTGGCCAGAAAGGGCATCTCCTTCGCCAGCGCGGGGGTGAGGAAGGTGGAGTCCCCCCCTGGTGACCTGCAGGGATCGAACAAAGAAGTCAGTGACATCACAACCATCAGATTGTTGTCTTTGACCTTCAGGACGGCTGCTGAATAAACGCCAAATACTCTCTGGTTTCAGCTCCTCCAGTGAGGCGACGCCACCTCTCCCAGTTTCATGCGACAGTAAATCAAATCTCGCTGGTTAAACAAATCAAGACTCTTTTAAAGACGTCTCCTCGGCCTTTAGGAAGCTGTGGTGGTTTTTATTCTAAACGCCGCGACATCGAGATATGACTGTAGCAGCAATCATCTGCAGACACTTGGTATTGGGAGAGGAAACGCTGGATCGGTTGCGTCCACGTCGGCCTTAAGGCGGATATTTAACAACAGGGGCAAACCCCACCTGCTGATGGAGATCATGTGATTTGATCTGAAGCTCCTGGACAAATATTAAACGGGGTTCAAGGTCAAGAGGAAACTTTCAGCACAAAGATTTTGCAGCTCTTCTTTCAGCTTTTCTGAAGAGCTTTGTGATTAATTAAACAGTGAACCTGATCCTGGGAATCAGGTTTACAGCGCGACGGGAAAATGGCTGCTACTGTACGTACAGTGTGTTCATGAAGCATCCTCCTAGTGTCAATAAAGTTAATACATGCACGTCCAGCGGCCGCGTTATCCTGATACCTGTCCTCCGAGACGACGTAGCTGCGGCTCCGCCACGATCCCCTGGCCCCACGGATCCCCTTGTTCTTCCTCCGCAACACAAAGTCCAGCAGCTGAGCCCAAGTCCACATCTATGATTCGACGCGCTTCGCCGGCATCACGCCAGCGTTAACGTCCCCGCCACTGTCTTGTTTCGGTCTTTTTGTGGCACGTGATCGAAACAGGCGAGTTGTACGTGAGAAGTAAAAAGGGTTTCAGGGTCCAAGGAGGAAACATAATCACACAAGACTGTGTGGAGGTCCACAGCTGAAGGAAAAGGTCCTCTCAAGTGTTCAATGCCTGAACGTGGTGTTGGCTTACCTGTGTGTGTGTGTGTGTGTGTGTGTGTGTGTGTGTGTGTGTGTGTGTGTGTGTGTGTGCGCTTCAGATATCACAGTTTATCCAGCGAAGGCCTTTGTGTCAAATGAAATGAAACCTTCAGCTGAACCAGGGAGGAGGGGGGGGGAGAGTAACGCTGCATTTACTTGTTGTAGGTAAATCCAACATGTGTGTGCAGATTCTGCCAACATCTACATGTGCCACAGCAGCTCCGCTTCAAACTGCGCCACCTACGGGAAAGTGTGAAGGATGGCAGCATTTCTGAGCATCTCTTATCTTCCTGAGCTGGGAAATGTCTGAACACTCTCCTCTTTCATTTGGGCAGGCATACTGTAGCATCCAGGCTGGCAAAAAGATGGTTCAGCTCTCCACTGACCTGAAAAGACGTGTACTGGATCCAGTAGCATGTCACTAAACTGGACTTCTCTTCGTCTTTAGAGGACCAGAGCTACAGTTCAGTCAGCCAGAGAACAAGAGAATACGTTACGTCTCTCCCGTGTATGTAGAGCACTAACTGGCCTTCTAAAGCAAGTCAGACACGCCTGAAATAAAACCAGATTGTCGTGGACTTCAGGAGATCCAGGAAAACAACAACTCCCGCCCTCCACATAAATGTCTGGGACTTCACATCACAAAAGGACCTGACGTGGACCCTAAACACCTCCCGCCAGCTGAAGAGGGCTCAGCGGAGACTTTCTTCTTCTTCAGGAAACTCCAAACTCCCTCCTCAGCTCTTAAATGTCTACAGGAGCGCCAAAGAGAGCTTTCTCCGCTAGCGCATCACAGTTAGTACTGCAGCTGTACCACAGAGAACCAAAGAGAGCCGGGCCGGATAGTCAGGACGCTATAATCGCTCTCGTCAAAGCCACCAGACTTTGTTTTGGGTAGTTTGTTTGTGTCTTTTAACCCTTTAAAACAGAAAGAGCACACAACAACAAACAAAAACAACAAAGTCACACTACAAACACACTGGCTGACAGACTGTTCTGTCCTGCGAGGTAAAATTACTATTTTAGTCTGGTGGCTTTGATAAAGTGTTCCAGGTTAAACAAAAAGGATCCTCTTTAAAAAAGCTCCCTCTCTGTAGGGATCCCTTCCATAATGTTGTCAGACACTCGTAACAACTATCTGAGCCTGTCAGCGGCAAAACGAGCGCTTTAGTGGACGTACTTTGACTTGCGCCAGCTGCAGCTCGCTCGCTCGCCACTGGACCAGTTTCAAAAAATGTCATCATTACGTCCAGGTTAAAAAAATACTTACGTTTCCCTTTGAAACCTCTGAGCCTCTCCTGTGCTGAAGATCACTTCTAAGATTGAAGGAGTTGCGTTTGTGTGATGCTCCTGGTCGACTGGAACAGCCTTTCTGAGGACTTTCATGCCTAAACGCAGCTTCAAACTTTCCTTTAATCCGTTGCTTTTTCAATAACCCAGCAACGGATTGAGGGGAAGATAAATCTGTTCCTATACAATCTCCATCCCTCCACCTACACAGCAAAAGCCATAATGACTACGCTTCCTTATATTAGCAGTACATTTCCTCCACATGTATAAACAGCAGTGTTTCCCCTCAGGCTCCCTGCAGGCTCTTGGCTTATCTTTCTCTACATAACTGCCATCAGCATGGTGCCAGACAAATACTTTATGAGCTGAGGAACAATGTTTCTGCTGGCTGCAGGAGGACAAGTTTCTGAACTGACCTCAGATTCAAAACAGCACTTGTTTAGGTAACTGGTGCAGCGAAGCTTTAGTCTCCCCACGTAAACATCTGGTGGCCATCAGAAGCATCATCTTCCACCATTTCATGAAAAAGGCTTCGTCACAGTGGAGAGAACCAGAAGGACTCTTCTTCAGGCTTTGTTGACATAACACATGAGGTGATGTTCGGTCGGCGTAGCAGCTGCTGGCAGATCAGAGACACTTTGATGGATGGTAAAATGCTCACTGCAGTTCAGTCAGGAGCTGAGATATGCAGGAAGTTAAGAACCGAGGAGCAGGATCCAAACGCACGGGTCTTAACGAATCTACGCTTCTTTGAAATTTGGTAACAGTTCCAACTTGGAACAGGTTCTTGATACCAAACCCTCCTGAGGAGATTCTGTCTGCAGGAATTCATGGAAACCAACTAAATTAAAATCAGTAAATCCTAAAATATACACTGAAGGAATAAAAGTAGTAACACCACCTTTAGCTGACCTTTGAACTTGATAACTACAGGCTTGACGTTACCTGAGTGGTGTGTCGGCCTCTCCTGACTCGCTGCAGGTGGAGCGACGGGAGTTGGAGGCCGGGGAGGAGGAGGAGGAGATTGGCGGGGAATTGGAAGAGTGGTTGGATGTATGTGAGGAGGAGGAGGAGGAGGAGGAGGAGGAGGTGGTGCGGGTGGAGTCCAGGGCCCTGGGCAGCAGCAGCGAGGACGGCATACACAGCCATGTCTCAAGGTCGGAGAACTTGGAGTAGCTCAGCATCTCCAGGACACTGCAGGAGGAGAAAGACCTTCATCATTCCCACTACAAACCAGAGCTGCAGGTAGTGAGCTTCGGCCATCGCAGCACTTCTTAAAACAAGAGAAAGAAGAAAAGACAACAAGGATATAAAAGAGAGAGGATACAATGACGATTCTGCATCTCTGCTTCAGGGTTCACCTTAAGACTCCTCCTAGAGATCAGAGGTCACGATAACTCTCTTAACTCTCATGGCGCCGTTTCCAGAGAAGAAGCTGTAAAAAGCAAAGCTAACAGAGAGAGAATACTGGACTCACCTTCACACGACTCACCGTGAAGCAGCAGGTTGCTCTGTAGCTGCTGGAGGTTGAAATATACAGTAACAGCTGTTTGATTTTAACTTATCAGCTTATGAGGTGACGATATGTTAATATTCACGACTACTTTAAACTTGAAAAAGGTGTTAAATATTCATGACTGAAGAAGCAACATCAAAGTTAAACATGTTTAAAACAATGGGAATAACACTGACAAAAAAAACAAAATAACCAAAACTGTTCATGTAGGATTTGACCGCTCACAGTAAAAAAAAATATAATTACAAAATGTTATCGGGGTCTATAGTAACAGGGGGCCTGACGAATAACTAATTGAGCATCTGTTCCTGACGAATCGATGTAATTTCTGTTATTGATGTTGCTCTCTCCCAGTACAGAGACATACCGCCAAACATGCCTGGATCACCTTAGTCCGGACTGAATTCTCTGTTTCTGAACAATCAATTAATTGTTCAGAATATTAAATGGCAAAGAAATTCAAACGAAAGCGAGTGCAAGACACTTCTTCAAATCCAACAGTATGAAAACCTTTTAAAAAGATACAGCAAAGCTTCACAAGTCACAGCCAGCGGATGTTTGCTATGTTTAGAAAATCCTCATCTCACATCATGAATGTCCTGAAGCTCAATCAGCCCAAACAGCTACCTGAGATTTCAGTATACAACTTTACCATGTGAAACTACAAAGGCGGCCTTGCTTCCCTACTCAAGTTCCATAATTAATTGCAAATTCTTGTGATTTCCAGAAATTAAAAAATAAATAAAAAGATAAAAACAAAGTGTGGCGAGCAGCAGAAAAGTAGGAGAAGTAAAAAAAATAATGATAACTTGGAATATTAAAATATATTGCAGAGTATTCGGAGTGAGCTACCTCTCCTCTCCCACTTCTGGGAGGTCATCTTTCTCGTCTGCGGTTCGGAAGACGCAGGAGGACCTGGAGTCTCGCGGTGACAGCAAAACACAGGCGTTATCAGAATCCACAGACATCTTCAGCCATATCTGCAGGGAATCAGGAGCGGGTCAGCTAACGATCTGAACACAAAAATACAGGGGTCGCACAAAAGGTCCAGCTTCTACGGTCAAGTCTGTTGCCTCCACAGAGTCACTAAGCTAGTTTCTTTAACATATACTTTTTTGGTTGGTAACTTAGCTTAACTTTAGCTTAGTTGGTTAACTAGACAGTGATTTTAGTTTGTTTGTTAGCTAGCTAATTGACATCATTATCTTGTTAGTTGTATGTATTTGGCTGTAACAGTAGCTTATTAACTGTGGTTAACTAGCTGGTGGCATTTCCTTATTTGTATTTAGCAAAATAGCTCAAAATATTAACTTATTTTCTAGCTTTCTATTCAAATTTGCTTGTTAGTTAACTAGCTGGTAATATTAGCTTACTAATTGGTCAGTTCAATATTTGGTTTGCTAGCTCACAATTTCAGCTACTTAGTTATTAGCTAGCTTTCTAGTAACATTAGCTTGTTAGTCTGTTCCTAGCTAGCGTTAGCTGGCAACATACCAACTTGTTAGTTTGTGACATTTACATTTATTCATTTAGCTGACACTTCCATCCAAAGCGATTTACAAATGCTGTACATGTCAGAGGTTGCACGCCTCTGGAGCAACTAGGGGTTAAGTGTCTTGCTCAGGGGACTTGAACCCGGGTCTCTCACACCAAAGGCATGTTTCTTATCCACCGCCCCATCACCACCTCACGTTATGACTACATTTCAAGTAACATTTGCTTGCTAAGTAACTTGTTAACTCGTTTAGCTAGCTTGAAAAAGTAGCTTGTTAGTAGTTGGTATCTATCTTCAACATTAGCTTGTCAGTTGATTAGCTAGTTGGGAACATTAGCTTGTCAGTTGATTAACTAGTTGGGAACATTAGCTTGTCAGTTGATTAGCTAGTTGGGAACATTAGCTTGTCAGTTGATTAGCTAGTTGGGAACATTAGCTTGTCAGTTGATTAGCTAGTTGGAACATTAGCTTGTCAGTTGATTAGCTAGTTGGGAACATTAGCTTGTCAGTTGATTAGCTAGTTGGGAACATTAGCTTGTCAGTTGATTAGCTAGTTGGGAACATTAGCTTGTCAGTTGATTAGCTAGTTGGAACATTAGCTTGTCAGTTGATTAGCTAGTTGGGAACATTAGCTTGTCAGTTGATTAGCTAGTTGGGAACATTAGCTTGTCAGTTGATTAGCTAGTTGGAACATTAGCTTGTCAGTTGATTAACTAGTTGGGAACATTAGCTTGTTAGCTGGTTAACTAGTTGGGAACATTAGCTTGTCAGTTGATTAACTAGTTGGGAACATTAGCTTGTCAGTTGATTAACTAGTTGGGAACATTAGCTTGTCAGTTGATTAACTAGTTGGAACATTAGCTTGTTAGCTGGTTAACTAGTTGGGAACATTAGCTTGTTAGCTGGTTAACTAGTTGGGAACAGTAGCTTGTTAACTGGTTAACTAGTTGGGAACATTAGCTTGTTAGCTGGTTAACTAGTTGGAACATTAGCTTGTTAGCTGGTTAACTAGTTGGGAACATTAGCTTGTTAGCTGGTTAACTAGTTGGAACATTAGCTTGTTAGCTGGTTAACTAGTTGGGAACATTAGCTTGTTAGCTGGTTAACTAGTTGGGAACATTAGCTTGTTAGCTGGTTAACTAGTTGGAACATTAGCTTGTCAGCTGGTTAACTAGTTGGGAACATTAGCTTGTTAGCTGGTTAACTAGTTGGGAACATTAGCTTGTTAGCTGGTTAACTAGATGGGAACATTAGCTTGTTAGCTGGTTAACTAGTTGGAACATTAGCTTGTTAGCTGGTTAACTAGTTGGGAACATTAGCTTGTTAGCTGGTTAACTAAACAGAAGTACAGAAGAAAGAGGTTAAACTGTTAAGTTACCCCGAACATGTAACTTATATTTGAAGTCTTTATCTGTAATTTAAAAGTGAGAGTACTAATTGGACTAATTACCCAGACTGTCCACCCTGCCTGTGCGACCACACGTGGTCACTGTTGTCATTGAAACACCCGGTGAGCCAGTAAAGGTAGAAACTCACGTGAACGCAGCTCTGCTCCCAGTCAAAGTTCATGTCAGCAAACCTTCAAACCTACGGGGCGCATTTTTATCCACAAAAGAAACATCTTTATCCTCTAAATGTATCCTCGGTTTCGCTTTTCAGTCAGCTGCGCTTCCCCTCCGCAGCTGCAGTAATCTGTGGCTCTGCAGAGGCAACACTCAGCACAACTTTACCGTCTTTCACTCTTCCTTCTTCTGCAGAAACAAGGTCGCTTCTTCTTCTTCTGCTTTTCCCAGAGCAGAAACATCTGCTCAGACTGCGCTGCCGCCTGGAAACGTGTCTTTGTCCTGCCCCGTGTAAAACATCCCAAAATACAAGCAGCCAGGCCGGAGGACTCAGATTTCACTGCGGTGGACTCACCGCACAGACGCCCAGCCCCACATCTGGGAGGGCCGAGCCTCAACACTCAGCTGACTCACACTCTGCAGCTGTCAATTAACCCGGGGGGAGAGAGGGAGAGGTGGTCAGAGCCTGCAGAGGAAACAAATGCAATCTGTATCTCTAATTCTGGACATACACTCGAAGAAGGGAATAAAGGAAGAGGAAGGAAGTAGGACAGGCAGAAAGAAGAGGAAAAGAGAGGGAAGAAGGAAGAGAGAGAATAAAAAGGGAAGGAGGAGGGACAGAAGGAAGGGAGAAAAAGGCAAGGAGAAAGGACAAGGGAAGGGAGGAGAAATGAAAAGACAAAGGAAAGAATGGAGGGAGGAAAAAGAAAAGAGGAAGGACAGAAGGAAGGAAGAAAACAAAGAAAGCATGAAACATGCAAAGTGAACTAAAGAAGTAAAGGAGGAGGGAGGAAAGGGGGAAGGAGGAAGGACAGAAAGGAGGAAAAATTAAAAAAGGAAAGAAGGAAAGGAGGCTTTGAAACGCAGAACATCTCCCAAAGAGGAGTTAAGTATCTAAAGAGTGATCTGCTCAGATGAGACCTGAAAACGTCTCCACAGGGTTTTTAGAGGTTCTTTCTGAACTGGACGATAAAGCCGAAGGCCTTGATGTTCACGCTGAAGCACAGAGATAAGTGCAGACAGGAAGGAGGCTGTTTATGTCGTTTCTGCTGTAATTATCTGCCGTTGGGACAAACAGCCGGGCCTCAGCAGAAATAATCACCCTGTGAGGATCCTACGGTGTCTTCACCATCTCAAATAAACATGTTGGGTTTTTACCTTTCTGCCTGCAGGTTTTGTTGTTACTGCCATGTTTGTCTGAATATGTACTGGACTTAAGAACAAATCTGAAGTACTTTACTTTTAGTGAGTTATCGTTATTATTAAAGAGTAGTTTTAATTTTTAAACCTGTGCTAGTACAAAAGGTTTTGAATCCTTATATAATCCTTATCCCCCAATAAAGAGTTTAATGCCTTGAACCGATCCAACCAGTTACAATATGAATCATGACCAGAACACATTTGAATCGAAGCAACAAAAACTACAAGAAAAAAAAGGTACAAGACTGTGTACATAATTATTTAAATGAGTGAAGGAAAGCCCCATTAGAAACAATAAATATGCGGTTATACCTTCAAAATTAAATGCCATTTTGAAACAGCAAGTTGAAGTGAAATGTTGCAGTTTGGTCAAGTTTAGGCACCAAAAATACTTGGTTAGGTTTAGGAAAAGATCATGGTTTGGCTTAAAATAACTATGTTACAAACGTTTGTTAACTTACGAAAGATAAGTAGCATCAATAAAAACCTTTAATGTTGAGTTTTTGTTTCACATGAGGGAAAAAAACACCGGTCTCCTGCTTGAAAGTGCAGCTTCTAGTCAAAGTCAACAAGCAAGACTGAGTGTTTAGATTTACGTGATAATGTAAGTGGAGAATGTCCCATTGTTTATTTTATTATTAGATTTTAATCACTGATAGATTCATGTAACACTGTGTCACTTACACTTAGTCATTTTAATTGTATACTGCTGGATAGATTAATCTATATTAATATATCGTGTTTTATATATTGATGATATTTTGGAGCCTATTATGAATCAGAATTTTTTTTATCAAGTAAATTAAAATGTATTTATTCTATATAGTGTATTTTATATATTGTTTTTCTTACAACCATCTTACATTCATGTGATTTGTAAAAATCTGTTGGTGACTTGAACGTGTGGAAACCTGGTCTCTGGTGGAGGGTTTACCTGGTGCGTCCTTCAGAGCGGGATTACTGGATTAAACATGTGTTGCTGGCTCCACCTAGTGGCGAATAAAACACAAAGAACTGAAGCTTTATTTAATGCTGTGCGTCACAGAATACACACGGAGGCCCCTTGCATCACGGGAGAGGGGCAGGGGTCGAGGGGCCCCTGGGAAGCTCCTGGAAAAGATCTTTCATTTTTAACACATTTACAAGTAAAATTATACTTCCTTGTGTTTTTCTGTACAATAAACCATGGATCTCACAGAAAGGCCAGAGGGAGACACAGTCCCCCCCCAAACTCTCAACAGAGTCTCCAGTGATCCAGGTATCAACAACGGATTGGACTTGAACCCGGAGACGCTGCACTATAGGCACAGACAATCTCACCACGCCATCGAATACCCTTCACAGTTGTTCCTTTTCTCTCTGATTGGACAGAACAACAGGATTGCGGTCAGTGTGTCTGCAGTTTTTATCGTCCACTGAGCATGTTTACAGTTACATAACTTTATTTTAATGGGTTGTATTATAGTTTTATTTCTGACATCGTTCTGCTGCTTTTGTGTGTGTGAACAGTGACGCCATGTTTCTCACCAAGGACCTGCACATTTTTATAGGCATTTTCACTGGCAGCTTCATACTTTGTTAAATTTGATGAAATGAGAAGTCAGACGTACAGCAGAGTTTGTGCTGAATAAAAGGAGTTTAACAGCTGCTGAACAAGGACAAACATGGAAGAACCAACCTGCTGATCGGCCTTCACATCTCACAGGCAGAACGCTGACGGTTTGTTTAGGAGAGAACTTCAGCAGGACCTTAATAAATGTAGAAAGGCTCAAAAGAAGTTGAACCTTAACCCTGTCTAAAGAAGAAAAAATTGAATTATTTTAAATGTTACCACATTAAATGATCTGTTAAGTTCTGTGTGTGTAGAGTGAAGATACTACAGACTTTCTTTTTGTTAACGTGTTGTATAATGATAAATAAACTACCTTGTACCTGCAGTTAAATGCACAATATGTCCCTCTGACATATAAAGAAATAGAAATATAAAGTATATACAGTAACACTAATACTGAAGTAAAGTGTGAGTACGCCTGACTCGAGTAAATGTACTTTTGGCTCAGGATGCTTCAGGTGACGTCATGTTTGCTGCTGCTGTAAAAAAGTCTGATTAACAATTTTCACAACTTCTTGTTTTCTACTCTTTTCTTCCTCCTCTGAGGATGTTAAAAAACTCAACAGTGTTCATTGTTATTTTTGAAAAGGAACAAACTAAAGTCCATCTCTCTCGCCTAGCAACAGAGCTCTAATGGACTAACCCATCTGAATGTAAACACTCTGTGTCCTTGGCTTCTAAGATTCAGCCGATCATACGTGATAACATTAGTTTAATATTCGTTTATTGAGTCACGGACTAAAATCAGGTCCCTGGAAAGGCCTGGAAGGTTCTGCGCCCATGGACAAGTCCCCGTTGGAGTGCTACTTTGATAACTTCATTGCAAACGTGAGTACAAGCTTCAGCTCCTCCCGTCTAAGTAAAAAAGTAGATGTTAAAGTGCCAGTTCACCCAAACAACGTCTCTCCTTAAACAGCGTCCCCTCTCGATCATCCACAGACCTCAGACCTGCCAACAGGTTCCAGTTGGACTTTGTTTTCACTGAAATTCACATGTGAACTTAAAGCACATTTCTAGTCATACATGAGAAACTGATATTTTTACCTTCGGATCTTTGATTTGGTTTAATTGAGGAGAAAAACAAAACAAAATTTTAAACATTTATATTTGTGTGTACGATCTAAGCAGCTTATAACTATTTCAAGTCCACCAGGTGGGGTTTAAGAGGCTTTATACATTCAAATAACTAAATAAACATCAGACCAGGCTTGTAATTGAGACTTGCATTTATCTGTTAAAACGTGCAGCCACACCGGGCCAGAAAAAGGCCCACGCATCTAACTGGGCTTTTAATTGAAGTTTTACAGTAGATTATATCAGTTAACAAAATGCAAAGTGAGTGAACAGAATAAAAATCTAAATCAAAACAATGTTTGCTGAACTCACTCCGTGTTATCTTGCTGCAGGAATCTGTAATGACGGAGAAGGAGGAGGTGAAGGAAGAGCTGGGCGATAAACCATTCCTCAGCGTACTGACGCCGTACAAGCCCAGCCAGGACGACACAGGTACTACACCACTAACACTGGTGTTCATCCAAAGACACACAAACAGGCAGAGAATGAGAGCACAACTGGCAATGTGTTGACAGACAAACGCACCGGTCTGGACTACAGCTCCCAGAATTCCACAGCAGCGGCCGAGCTCCCGGGTGGGTCGTCCGTGCCGGAGCTGGGTGCCTCTCCTGTTTGTCCCGTGACCCCCGTGATGCCTGTGACACAGGAACCAGAAACCATCCCACAGATACAGTAGGTCACCACAAAACAGTTTAGTTGCTGTTCTGGAGCTTTCAGTGTTATCGCACAGTCTTCCTCATCAGATGGATTTTGCCCAGAAGTCATTTTTCTTAGCACTTCTCACCACCAGACACGATCTCACCACAGGTCCTCGCTCCTCAGTAGGTCACCTGTTCCTACAAACACTGCTGAGACTCTACTGCAGCTTTAACCTTCCCTATTGCGTTTGTAGTCCTAAGTGTCGTACTGTATTAATCCAGTGTTGTGTGTTTGTGTGCAGGAACATCCTCTCTACAGTGACGCTGGGCTGTTGTCTGGACCTGGACTTCATTGCTTCCAAGGCCTGGAACGTAGAGTACAAACCAAAGGTACGGAAAGGATCCAGAAAAAGACATGGACTCTACACAGTGAGGCCATTACCAACGCTGGTTTGGGCAACAATTGGTCGATTCTGTTTGCATAGTGCTCTTACATAGCGTTGGAAACTACCCGGGAGCATTGTGTTAATTCAATGATTTGCTAATTAATATGGTAATCAGCACTAAAACTGAATAGACTGAAATGGTAAGTGCATTCTTCCTACATTTATACAAGTTCCCGAAGCCCCGTCTCTTCAACACATTCTCACTCCCATGTCATCACATGTAGACGCATGGTGCAGACCCCTTGGCATCAGTTTGTAACGCACTGGGGGAAGCCCTGCAGAGTCATTTATGAACGCTTAAAGCAGGTGTAGTATTTAAATAACAGAAGTCCGAGTAAGGAGCTGTGTGGGTGAGACACCAGACACCAGTGTATAACCACAATATTTTCTTGTCTTAAACCTAACCAAGTAGTTTTGGTGGCTAAACCAACAAATTGCAACGTTTGACGACGTTATCCAATAGTTTTATTTTTAAAGTCTAACCGGATATTGCATATTTTTTGTTGCTAACTTGACCGCAGAGCCCTAAGCGTCCAAAAGTGACGCTAAAGCGTGAAACTGTGTTGGTCTCTTAGAAGTGCCCTGTGTCAAAATCTACTTTAAGCATCTTCAGTGCTTCACCTTGTTTTATGCTTACACAATAATTGCATATTAGCTTTGCTTTCAGTCAAATTATAACCAATCTAACTTGGGTAACTAGAGAAGGGTGAGTGGTTATGACCTTAGACAGAACTGAGACCAGCAGAGAGTCCAAAGCTTCAGGTGTTACAAGGACTTCCTGGTGTGACTAGGCAGCAAGGCCCTAAGAATACCTAAACTGCATGTTCATTCTGTTATGTTTTTTTAACAAACATTGCAGCTTCTAGTTGTCGCCAGAAAGAAGTGGAGACGGGAAAACATGCTTCTCCGAGCTGTGCATGGGGAACATGAACATCTATACAGATTTTTTTGCAGATGTTGACATGTGTTTTTTTCCGTCTTGAACATGCTACACAGTAGGAGTTGGATCAACCAATCAGTGTTTGACACACACATTATTGAGATTTGGGCGATGTGTATGTTTGCTTCTCTGCCAACCTCTGGGCTCTACAGTAGAAAGTCAGACATGACATCTGTCATACAGTTCAAGGTGAGGCCAACCGCCTTCTAAAAAAAACAACCTGTAAAGCTTCCTGTTGTGTTTCAGACACACAAGGCGCTCACCATGAGGATCCGGAAACCGCGAACGACAGCAATTATCTACGAAACTGGAAATATTGTCTGTACAGGAGCCAAGAGGTCTGTCTGCCCATCTGTCTAGACTTATCTCCAGTGATTGTGGTGCTGCAAGATGGTTCTCAGGACAGTGAACCCCCACCTCCTCTGTATTTGTGCAGTGAGGAGCAGTCATGGCTGGCGGCCAGGAAGTTCGCCCGCATAGTGCAGAAGCTGGGCTTCCCCGTCGGCTTCTTCAACTTTAAGATTCACAACGTGGTGGCCACTTGGAAGACCTTCCCGATCAGTTTGGAGAGACTGGCCCACTATCAGCCCTGCAGGTCAGGAGACACTGGCTGTGGGAACATGAGCCACAATCCTCCACCTGAGTGTAGCCGATCCTGTTTACTGGCAGTGTTTAAGTACAATAAGCTGATGTTTAGCTTAGCACAAAGACTGGATGCAGGGGAAGAACAAACATGAGAAGAACAAACGAACATGAATCAAAGCCTTCTGATTTACATGTTGATTCCATTTAAACAAATTGAATTATCCACACTGACTTGAGATCCTGAGAGGCAAGTTTAATCTGCAAAGGACGATTCAAACCACACAAACTGATGATTGATATTTGATGTGAACTTAATAACTATAACACAATAAGTACCAGTACCTATAAGCTTACTGGTTTCACTGTGTGCATATAGTGCTCCAGCAAAACAAAAGTCCTCACCCTGTTTTCACCCGCTGACGTCTCGTCTGCTGTGAATTGCTCTGATTATTGGTGAGTTTTCCATTAGTTATGTGTGTTTTCTCCACAGTTACGAACCAGAGCTGTTTCCCGGCCTCTACCTCTACGTGGTGCCTGGCATGACTGCAATCGTCTTTCCATCTGGGAAGATTATTCTAAGCGGTAGCTAAGATGTGTTTGTGTCCACACTTGGGCAATATGGCTAAAAATGTTATCACGAGAAAAACATTTCATACCATTCCATATCGATAATTATCACAATAAATGTCAACTCATTATTTCTTTCAAGTTTAAAGACTGATATTTGCTCCTGAGTGAAAGATGGAGAATTCGGAGAGTTAATTGTGTGGTTCAACTTTTCTTTATCATCAAAACATCTAGACACTTCAAACACACATAGGGTAGAACATTCAAAATTTAAAATTTTCAACAAATAGTAGTAAATCTTTTTCTTAATAGAAATATTAAGTGCTAATTCGTTCGTGATTCAAATGAATTGAATCAAACATTTACTGACGATATATTGAGCATTTGTTATATTGTTATTGAGAAAAATTATATTGCAATAATTATCATTAATGTTTATTACCCAGCCCCAGTCCACATGTCTCAGTTTATTGGTCATGTGGTGAAATACCACAGAGCAGAGCGGCAAAACCTGATCAGGCCCAGACACCCTGAAGCAATAGTCACGTCTACACTGCAGGTGTCCTCATCAATCATGTTCAGCAGCACAAGGGTTTTGGGGGTCTGTTAGGAAGTTCTACTGGGCATTGAGGAGGTTTGATAAGTCCTTAACATAGTTCTAGGTGTTCCTTAAGGAGGTTCTAGTGGGCATTGATTCGGTCGTTAGGTGGTTGTTGGGGTCACTTATGAGGTTCTAGGGGTCCTGTAGTAGTTCTTGAAGTAAGTGAGGAGGTTCAAGTAGTCCTTTAGGTAGTTCTAGTGTCCTTTTGGGACGTTCTAGAGACCCTGTAGGTAGTTCTTGAAGTAAGTGAGGTGGTTCAAGTAGTCCTTTGGGTAGTTCTAGTGTCGTTTTGGGACGTTCTAGAGGTCTTGTAGGTAGTTCTTGAAGTAAGTGAGGTGGTTCAAGTAGTCCTTTAGGTAGTTCTAGTGTTGTTTTGGGACGTTCTAGAGGTCTTGTAGGTAGTTCTTGAAGTAAGTGAGGTCGTTCAAGTAGTCCTTTAGGTAGTTCTAGTGTCCTTTTGGGACGTTCTAGAGGCCCTGTAGGTAGTTCTTGAAGTAAGTGAGGTGGTTCAAGTAGTCCTTTGGGTAGTTCTAGTGTCCTTTTGGGACGTTCTAGAGGCCCTGTAGGTAGTTCTTGAAGTAAGTGAGGTGGTTCAAGTAGTCCTTTGGGTAGTTCTAATGTTGTTTTGGGACGTTCTAGAGGCCCTGTAGGTAGTTCTTGAAGTAAGTGAGGTGGTTCAAGTAGTCCTTTGGGTAGTTCTAGTGTCGTTTTGGGACGTTCTAGAGGTCTTGTAGGTAGTTCTTGAAGTAAGTGAGGTGGTTCTACAAGTAGTTTAGGTGGTTTTAGGGGCCGCTGTCGCTCAAGTAATAGAGCGGGTCGTCCGCTGTATGATCCCCACCTCCTCCTGTCCACATGTTGAAGTGTTCCTTGGCAATTCACTGAACCCTGAATTGCTTGAATGAGCACAAAAACCTTGTAAAGCACCCAGCCATTTAATATTTATTTACCATTTGGTTTTAGTGGTCAGTGAGGAGGTTCCAGTGGACCTTTAAGAGGTTCAAATGATCATTGAGAAGGTTCTAAAGGTGCTTAGGTTCTTCCTTGTGATGTTATAGTGTAGATTGAGGGGTAGTGTTAGGGGTTTGACTGAGGAGATTCAGCAGGTATTTTATTAAATTCAGGATTGTTTAATATGGTCATGTGGTAATTGAGGAGGTTCTAATGGTCCTTTAACATGTCTTAAATGTCACTGGGGGTGTATAGAGATCCCTAAAGGGGGGCTAGGGGTCCTTCTGTAGTCTGTGTGATCACAGAACATATTTCTAATGTTCCTGGATGTGTTAACTTCACTGTGAAATAATCTGGCACTTAGGGGTTTTAATTTTGAGGTCTTGTGTTAAATTCCAGGAGCTAAAAATAACGCTGAGGTCTACAAAGCATTTGAAACCCTCCAACCAATCCTGAGCAGCTTCAGGAGATTCAGGAGGCAGCGATGAGAGATGCACCGGACTCTGACAGGAGCTCCTGTCCATTTTAAAACTAATGTTAAAAATGGACTTGGTTGTAGAGTCATTGTTGAACAGAGGGGTTAACAACCTTGAAGGGAATAAATGAATGTCTTCCATCTCAATAATGGTCTTTATAGTGTTTCAGACTTAAATACTGATCATTCATAACACAGACTTGAGTATTTATAACTTCATTACTGATGTCTGAGACTAATGTCAGGCGTTGAGGTAGGCAGACGATCGGGGGCAGGTGAACTGTGGCGGGTTCATTATGGGATGCAACACTATGCAGTAGCATTAATGGAAATACTCAACTAAAAGGGTATCTCAAAATTGTACTAAAGCACAGTAGACTACCTGGGTAAATGTACAAGGTTATCATTTTACAACACAACAAGATGAAGTTGATAGCTCTCACAGCAGCCTTAGTTAGATTACTTCTGTCTGAGGCTTCCTCTGTGAAGCTCAACATGTTGCGGAAGCTACAGATTTATACAAGTCCCAATCGTAGTTCCCTTCATCACCACTCGATGTCAGCATGGTTGTAGGTTGGCTCATACATCCATGTGCAATTACTGTTTTTTTCAATTGCTAACATGCAACAGTCAAAACTGAAGCCACTTTTTCAAAACTCTTCATTATTTTTGCATTACCAACCTGCATCTTGGCCAAACAGTTAATCTCACCTCCAAAAGTCAGTTTTAAAATAAACTTGTTCACCCAAAACACTGACAACAATTCTCCATCAGAAAGCAGTCATTGTCACTCATAACACACTGACCTAAAAACACTAACAACAGGGAGCAATACGTAAATGATAAACTTTTATATTTAAATTATAAATTATTTTTTCATATAAATCACTGTTATTATACAACACAGTTTTTTTCACAGATCTCATTTCAGAATTTTCAAAACTACTTGTTCACCCCCCACATCATCTAGTCCGTTCATGAAAGCAAGTTCTCATTCTTTTGAACGAATTGCAAATGTTTTTGCAGCTGTCATGTTTTACTGTCGGTCACTGATTTAAAGATTTATTTTTCAGAGATAGACCAATGATTTTGAGTAAGTTACAGGCTTTTGCAGGTAATCCACTGTGTAGTGCTGTTTGTATGATATGTTTTGAGAAATGCACTTACTGTTTTGCAAATGTTAAGCGACTGAGAAAAACTGCAAAAATAACATATTTGCACTTTATTGACTGTACTAAAGTTTATGTAACAAGAATGAATCAGAAATGCAGAAATTCACTTCAATGTCCTTTATTTTTTATATATTACTGCATATAGTAATACACTTAAAAAATAAAAAGTTGACAAACTAATTCTTGCTGCAATACAGTTATTCTCAGTTGTTTCCATAGTAACATTGGTATTTGACACACAGTGACCTCAACCTGTAATTCATGTACCAACCCCCTGAACCAATTCTGCTAAAACACAAGCACATTTTCTGCTTTACACTCAGTTTTAAAGCCACATTCAAAAGACTACATACAGTCCTCTATGCACACAGATGTAAACATAAAATGTACGTAAATGTTAGCTAAGCTTTCCTCTATATTTCAGTCTTGTTGCTGCAGAAATGCAGGACATTTGCCATCTTAATGTTTTGAATGTGTTTTAACAGTTTTGGACTCAGCATCTGAAAAATGTGCTGCAGTTATCTAATCTTTTGCAGGTGGTGAAGTAGTAATGAGAAAAGAGTTCATGGAATGCATTTTGTTTGAAAGCAACAAAAAATTATTCACAGTTTGTGAATCTAAAAAGTAAACAGTAACTCCAGCTGGCAGATAAATGTAACGGGGTCACATGTAAACTGTTCTACTGGTAGGCCTACTTTAGGTACTTGAGGTTCTTGAGGTAATTAATAAGGTTAGATGGGCCCTTCAGGTCGTTCTCTAGGCTGTAGTGTCTTTTAGGGATTGTTGGTGTTCCTTTAAGACGTCCTAGAGGTTCTTTAGATGATTCTAGGTGATCCTTGAATATAAAATGTGTAGTATTACTTAAGGTAGTTCTAGTGTCCCTTTAGGTGGTTCAGATGGTCAATGAGGAGATTCTAGAGGTCCTGTAGTGGGTTCTTAAAGTAATTAAGAAGGTTCTACGGTCCCTTTGGGTGGTTTAAGTGGTCTATGAGGAGGTTCTAGAGGTCCTGTAGTGGGTTCTTAAAGTAATTAAGAAGGTTCCACGGTCCCTTTGGGTGGTTTAAGTGGTCAATGAGGAGGTTCTAGAGGTCCTATAGTTAGTTCTTAAAGAAATTAAGAAGGTTCTACGGTCCCTTTGGGTGGTTTAAGTGGTCAGTGAGGAGGTTCTAGAGGTCCTATAGTTAGTTCTTAAAGAAATTAAGAAGGTTCTACGGTCCCTTTGGGTGGTTTAAGTGGTCAATGAGGAGGTTCTAGAGGTAGGTTCTTTTAAGAAGGTTCTACGGTCCCTTTGGGTGGTTTAAGTGGTCTATGAGGAGGTTCTAGAGGTCCTGTAGTGGGTTCTTAAAGTAATTAAGAAGGTTCCACGGTCCCTTTGGGTGGTTTAAGTGGTCAATGAGGAGGTTCTAGAGGTCCTATAGTTAGTTCTTAAAGAAATTAAGAAGATTCTACGGTCCCTTTGGGTGGTTTAAGTGGTCAATGAGGAGGTTCTAGAGGTCCTATAGTTAGTTCTTAAAGTAATTAAGAAGTTTAAGTGGTCAATGAGGAGGTTCTAGAGGTCCTATAGTTAGTTCTTAAAGTAATTAAGAAGGTTCTACAGGCCCTTTGGGTGGTTTAAATGGTCAGTGAGGAGGTTCTAGAGGTCCTATAGTTAGTTCTTAAAGTAATTAAGAAGGTTCTACGGGCCCTTTGGGTGATTTAAGTGGTCAATGAGGAGGTTCTATGGTCTTCTAGGTGCTTTTGGTGTTCCTTTAAGAGGTTCTAGAGGTTATTTAGGTGGTTCAATATGGTTGAATATAACACATGAATCTAAAAAGTAAGTAAGTAAGTCCAGCTGTCAAATATACTGTTAAATGCTCTGTGTGACAGTTCAGTGAGTTAGCTGTTAGCTCATCTGCTAGCCATCTGCTGCACACACACCAGGAAACATCTGGCTGACGCTCCACTTCTTAAACAGGTCAGTTTGTACCAAATGATTCAGTGAAGCACACAGGTGATGATGAGGTGAGGACACTACAGCGCCTCAGCTCATCTACTGTTCTCTGCTGCTTTGGTAAACTAGGTTTGTCTTCTGGGACTCATTATGGGGCCCCCCTGGTTTTTGAAAACTACTATATTCTGTCAGAAGTATACTGCAAGTGAAGTGAGCACTGGAATATCTAACCCACCACCATCTCACATAGATGTAAGCAACCACTTCTGGAAACGGATGGGGATCTAACAAAAGAATAAGGAATATGGGCTCTCCAAGCAAAATGTCCTCCCAAACCACAAGAGCAAGTTTTGATTAACCAAACCTCGACTGGCCTGAAGATACGGCTGAATTTACATAATATTTTCATTTGTCAGTCTGATATTGTGTTCATATTCTCTGAGTTATTTTCTCACTAAATGTATTCGTCCTGTTGACGTGATGTTCAGTCCCGCAACTTTTGCATCAAATCAGTGTTTTTCATGATGGTTTGATAAATCTGTCAAGATAAGAGCAAACATGTAACCCACGCATCTTTCTGACACAATTTTTTGATAAACAAAGCTAGCTATGAACAGTGGTGGACGAAGCTTTACTTCAGTAAAAGTACTATTACCACACTTTAAAAAATACTCTGTTACATGTAAAATTCCAGCATTGAAAATTTTACTAAAGTTGAAGTATAAAAGTATAATTAGGAAAATGTAAGTAAAGTAAAATGACTATAATATAATGCGTTACATTATTATTGTTACTCATGGATTAATGGAAAGAAGGAATTTACTGCTGTAGTTGTTGAACTGGAGCTCATTTTGAACAGTCTTGTATCAGAAACTTTTCAGTCTGGATTAATGAGCTGTATTGTTTTATCCATTAATCGATTTTTGAAATTCTGAAAATGGTGAGAAATGCCGTCACAGTGACCCAGAGCCCAACGTGACGCCTTCACGGTCCTTTGTTTTGTCTAACCAACAGTACAGAGCTCAACATTTTTACAAATCACTTCAAATAATCAAAAAGGAAAAGCAGCAAATCTTCACATTTGTGAGCTATGAAATGTTTTCAAATGAAAAATGTCTCAAACCGTCAAAGCTTTCATTTTAATCTCAGTCTTTTCGTCAGTTCAGGGCTCAATTCTAACAGGATAAAAAGATAAGTTGTCTCTCGCCATTGACTACCGCACATAAGGTCCCATGGGCAGCGGAAGCAGAAGTGAGTGACGTAGGCTCTCTATTCTTAATTTCGCCTACAAGGCTCTGATTGGTTGATTGTTGTGTAACGCTTTGGATTACGGCCTGCAGCCTCCAGCGCAATTCTTCTCAATGTACAGTGTATTTATTTGTACAGTCTACCAGTACAGTACGTACCGATGCACACATGAAGGAACAAGGGAACTAGATGTGAAGTGTGGGAACTTCTTTTCAAACTAGCGATGGATGGATGGATTTCAAAAAGGTCTCTTCTCGTTTCGAGTCGTGTTTCTAGTGAGAGTGTTTTCCGTGACCTGCTGACCTCTGAACTGGAAGCTCTTCCCGTTCGCTCTCCAGGGCTGCAGGCTGGCGTGTTGACACCGAGCAGCAGGAAGTGAGGTAATCCTGCGGCTGACATGTTGGACCCTACATGAAAACAGTGAATTATGGGACGGCTTCCTCCCCTGTCGAAACCTGGAGCTCCAGCATCCTATCTTCCTTTCTCTGATGCGTCCTCCTCCTTCCTTCCTCCTCCTATCTTTTCCTCCTAACTGCCTCTCTCCTATTTTCCACTGAACTGACATACAGTATTTACTTATTGCCAAGTTAGTTTTAGTTGTGTGAGTTTTAACTAATTTTCATCTAGCTGGTGATTCATTGTTTTTTATTTGGCAAGTTCACTTTCAATGAGCACACGTGACCCCCCGCCCCCCCCTTTTTTAAATCTCATCTGTTTCATTCTTTCACATCCTGTTACTCTTTCTCTATTTGGCTCTTGATCTATTTCTCTTTCTAATAACATCCTGAGTTTCCTCTGATCCTAATAATACCAAATGATAATCATGCTGACAGTAACACATCCTGTATTCCTCTGCCACATCCCCTCTGACCTTTCACTCTCTCTTCTGCTGCCTCTCATCTTTGACTTGTGTTAACTCGTGTTTTCAAAGGTCGTCATCAAAGGTTAAAAATAAGTCTCGTTTCTTGTCATCAAATCGCACAAACAGACCAAACCAGCGGTGAAAGTATCTCCTAACAAGTACACCGCCTGATATTTCTTCTTCCTCCTTGTTGTCCCTTAAAAACACATCAAATCAGCCTTAGCTTAAAGAACTAAGGCTGATTTGATTTTGGTGACAACACGTGGTGCCACTCTCAGGAATAGATTTGACCTTTTTTAACCCCACTAGTGGAAAAGACCTAGCAATACAAAAGTTCTCTGCTCTGTACAGAGCGCTGACGCTTCCTGGGGCTGCTGGCGTGACTCCACTCTTTTAGTGTTTTCTGAATTTGGAAGCTGCAAAAATGCAAAGTCAACTTTTCCACTTTGGTTGGAGCCAAAATAAAATGAACAGCATGTAAAATGACAAAACTGGAGCTCGTGGCTTGGTGAACACACCTGTATTCACAGGAAGGAACAGAAAGGAAGAGCACGAACACAGTCCTGTGCGCTCCAATAGCTGCTAACCTCACCACTTTACATGCACAGCCTGTAACCATCTGTTGTGAGGAGGAAGCAGGGGAGGGTGTCTCCAGAGAGATGGATCCAAAGCAAATAACTCACATCATCCTTAACCCAGAAATGGATCCGGGAAGGAAGTGATTTAACACTTGTCCACGTCCCTGGACAGATGTCTAATGGGCCAGGAAGGAAAATCAATCTCCATGCATTCATTAAATGTCTCATTTTGGTCGGACTGCTTTGGAGAGGAACACTTCAAAAATCATGACACAGCCGATGGGGAAATACGTGAACACAGAGAGCCACTGGGACTCAAGTGGCTCCAGAAAATTAGATCTGAAGAACCGATTATCTGCTGGGACAAACATTTAAAACAGCCCAAAGGGAGGTATTAAAATATATGAAATGACTTCATATCTGTACACATTAGTAGACTCTCTCACCGGGTCACAGGGTTTTAGGGCTCCAGCTTCTCTCTCAGGCTGTGCTGTGGTGACCCCTTGATCTGGATCAAAGGACCCCCGAGAGGATCATCTGCAAAAGTCAGCTCAGGGTTTGAAAATAAAGCCAGATGTGCCCAGCTGGACTCTGCAGGAGCTGCAGGAGTAGAGATTTAAATCTCGTCTTCCACATCACCAACAGTAACTGAGATCCTCCAACACACTTTCCTTAGAAACTGTGTCTCTTTACTTCTGTCACTTTGCATACACGGTAAGTGTTCCCATGCTGTATTAACATTACCTGATTTCAGTATTTTAACCTGGGTTTCCACACATGTTGAAATGAGGAGCAGGGCGATTTGAATCTGTGCAGCAGATGCTTCAGCCAGCAGCTAAACTGGCTGCAGCTGCTGCAACATATTCCTGTGGGGCAACGACGCCCGTCAAAATGGCGTCCACAGAAAGTGCTTCTCGTTGCCACCGACAGGCTCAGACTGTTATAGCAGGTGTCTGACAAAATCATGATAAGGATCCCTACGAGGGACTCCTGGTGACCCCCTTGGTTTTTAAAAGGAAACTGAAGTCTCGCTCTGAAATCTCATGAGAGGCGAGTTGTCGCAGGAAGACGACGGTATAAATGAGAGTTAGAGTTGGTAAGAGAAGTTTGTCGTGTTGGAGTAAATTTAGGAAATAAAGTCTTGCTAGCAGCTCCTCTGCGTACACAACGAACTCCTCTCCCTTGTTTCCACCATCGGATGTGAAGTTTGGTTAAGTTTAGACTAAAACCTTCTTGGTTAGAGTTGGGAAAGATCATGGTTTGGATTAAAATGACCAACTTTGTACTTGTCTAAGTTTAGGGGACCTAAACTGCAATGATTACAATGTAAACATTGATGTTTGGTAACTGGAGTGTTTTGTTGATCCTTCCGTCCACCCAGGCCTCCTCTCGACACTAGCTGTGTCACTTTCCTGTCATCACAATGACCACGCCTCCTTTTGGGTGAAAACAAGTGCTGTAATTAGTAATTAAATGATGTAATTAGTGTACAGTAACGACAGACTGTACAGACTAAAGCTTACAGTTAGGGCTGGCTCAGGTGAGTCCTGAACTAGAGACCTGAGCGCGAATGTTTTCTTGATCCAGCTCCCGCTGATTTTGTGACCATTAGCGCCCATTCCCGCAACATGTGCATCCACTCCCACCCACACCCGCAAACGAGTAAAAAAAGGACACAAGTGTTTGAGCTATGCTAAACGCCTGTGTGACGGAAACCAGCGAGGCTGTGCAGTGAGTAAACCTCAGTCCCAACACCTTAGGAGACGTACTGGCGACTGACATTAGCGGCCACGGGGGTTTAGCTCGCTCGTCAGCATGTCCGCCTCTTGTACTCGAGGTTGCCACTTCCAGTCAGGCCCTCGTGAGCAGTCGCCTTTGCTCTTTTTTTATCTTTTCAACTTCGTTTGTTGACTCCATCTTATCAGTGCTACTGCGGGACCTGCAGGATCCTAATCCCAATGCAGCTTTCTGTCCTGAACCATCCCTTAGTTATGCTGCTATAGGCCTAGACTGCCGGGGGATTTCCCATGATGCACTGAGCTCCTCTCTCCTCTACTTTCTCTCCCTCTGTATGCAACCTCATCCCAGTATTGCATGTTACTAACACAACTTCTCCCCTTTCTGGTAGTCTTGTGCTTTCTCGTCTCTCTCCTCTCTCCTCCTATCACTTCCTGCAGGTGTTTCTGGCTCCCGAGCTGTGGGGTTTGGATCCATGGTTGCGGGCTTCGTGCTGCTTTCATGTTCCTGCTCAACACCTGCTGCTAAAATTATTGTTATCAGTCCTATAATTATTATAATACATATTGTTATCATTATAACTTTTTGAATTATTACCATTAGTATTATTTTGCATCTCTGTGTGGATCATTGAGCTGCTCTGTGCTCTCTGAACAGGGAGGAATTTTTTTTAGTAAGTCGTCCTCTCGGGGTTTGAGAAAAACTTCAGCATGAAGTCAGCAAAACTACTCTGAAAAGTGGAACTTCCCTTTGTGCTATTTAGGCTGCACCTGCACCGAGATCTGGCTGTGAGCTCGGAGGGAAAGGATATCAGAGCAGAGAAAGCTCCTGTTACAGATGTTGACCTCCACAAGGTCGTCTCTCAACCAGAACCACGCTGTGACGGATGATGTATTCATAATATTAAGAAAGTCTTTTTAAAGATATTCCTTTAAGGACATAACAGTTTGTCAGTGTTTTCTGATCTGCCTCCTTTACGGTTTATGTTTGATGTTATAAGCCTTCAGATTTCCGTCCTGATGATTGGTTTCTATTTTCACAGCGAGGCCAAACAAATAATAATGTTTTGATAAAGAAATCAATCAATAACAACAGCCTCCATTGGATTTCATGCTGCACACACAGCCAGCAGCTTCCCGCACAGTAAAAGGCAAACCCACACTGTGTTGTTCAAAGAAGCTGATTTTGTTTTTGGGTCTCCTCATGGTTGTTTTGTTTTTCTCTCCAAAACTCTCTGCTCTCGGACCACCGTGGACGTGAGACCAGAGCTGTTTGGAGGCTTTAGAGGACAACAGGGATCAGGATGATAAATAAACCTCAGATGTTTCTCTCAGATGATTTCTCCCAGATGTCTGATTTTCAGTTCTTTTGCATTTTCTTAACATTGTGTTTTGGACACTTTTTCCTAATGGACACACGTTATCCCCCCCAAATCTGTACAAGTAGAAAAGAAACGTGGTAATAAGCTAATTGTAGCTTTGGACTCTCTGGCTGTCCTTAAAAGCTGCCTAGAAAGTTCATCAAAGTTGGACTCCGCTAATCGCAGTGATTCTGTTAGAATGAACTGATTTACAGAGATTTTAATTGCTATGGTGAATGGGTTTCTACTCTAGTTAGTTTTTTTTTTACATTTTGTTCATCATCTCAGCATTCGTGAAATTTTGGGTGTTTCAGCTGTGCAGCAGCTTTTCACGACCCATATTTAGTTTTCTTGTTAGGCCGAGACCTCTAGTGGCAGAAGAAGCAGGTAACGCGGTAAAAAGAGCAACAAAGTCTGTTAAGGAGGTGGTGGGACGGATGGACGAGTGAAGTAAACTCAAGAGACTGAGGTTCACTCGTCACATATGGATGCTTGGTACCGTTTAGCGTTGTTTTTCTCCGTGCTCAAGTTAGCAACAATAAATATACAACGTCCAGTTAGACTTTCAAAATAAATGTACTTGTTAACGTTGCGAAACATCATAATTTTGAAACGGCACGTCAACGTTGTTTTAACTTTGTTTAGGAAAACATCATGGTCTTGGTTAAAACAACTATGTCAGTTAACTTACCTAAGTTAAGAGGCATAACTTTAATAAAAACATCCTATGCTGACTTTTGTTTTACACGGTGAAGAACACCGGCCTCCTGGTTGAAAGTCTGGTTTCAACCACCTCCTTACTCTGACTCCTTATGACAAAGGATCTTGTGATGATTTGGAAGTGAGAACGTGTTGGAGGTTTGATTCCTGCGTGAAAGAAAGTCAAAGGTGACATGTTTTAGGTTAAATAACGCTTTGTAGAAGACTTACATTTACATTACATTTATTAATTTAGCTGACGCTTTTATCCAAAACAACTGCTATACATGTCAGAGGTCGCACGCCTCTGGAGCAACGAGGGGTTAAGTGTCTTGCTCAGGGACACAATGGTGGACGCGTCACAGTGGGGAGTTGAATGTGGGTCTCTCACACCAAAGACATGTGTCTCAACCACTGGGCCATCAGCACCACCTCTTACATCATGTGACTTACCTAATCTCTAATTTTTACCCAAACCACAATATTTCCTAAACCTAAACATAAATTAAGATGTTATTTAAAGTGGTGTGGACAAAATGCCAAATTAATGTACTATCCTCCTCCAGTCCATTCATCAATAAAGAGAGTTTAACACACAAGTGAGGTTATTTTAAGGAACATGCAGTCAGTGGAGTGTGGTAGTGACAGAGCACCAGCTGAAGGGAGGAAAGAGTTAAAACTTCTCTTGTTAGTGCAGTAGGAGGTGGTATGGAGGGGAGGGAAGGCGTGGGAGAGGGCAGTCCCCCCCTTTTTTCTATTGATAGCCATATTCCCCATTTATTCCTGCAGTCAGGACGATGCCGAGTGACGAGCACAGAGACGCGACCTGCAGAGCCTCCACACCGAGGACAGCATGACTGCTAGAGTTCAATTCAGAAAAACTGGAATGGAGAGCTGCAGACTTCAACAGTAGGTGTTTTTGCTTTTCTCCTTCTTCCAGGACACAACGCAGGTGTTTGGCTGCATCATAAAAAACTCATCACCCCGCAGAGATAACAGGCAGTCAGGTCAGCAGCTATGCAGTCACATCATTATCTCAGAGCACTGAGCTGAATCCTACAACCTCCTCAAAGTTTCATTTTTAGGTTGAAGGTGAAACATTTCAATCCTTTACAGACCTAAATGAATCTCTGCATGTTAGAAACGCTCCTCAGTCTCTCACATTAACTGAGAACTCAACTTTAAAGGTGATTATGTTACTTAAGGAACAGGTTTTATCATTAAGGAGACAAGATTTTATGCACAAACTGGATTTACATCATAATGGAGGGAAGGTCTGATTGATTAATGAAAGGGAAAGTAGTCACTCCTGCTTTCTTTCCTCCTTTTTTCAATTAGACCAGATAAGGTGGGCTTATTTTGCATCGCTCATCATGAACTCACAGAGGAAACAGGGCGGATTTCCTGAGAAATATTATAAAAAATTAAGACTTCTGTATTCAAGGTACCATCCATTTTAAACTCTTGATGTTCTCAAAGTTATAGTCTAAACCATTAATTGTTAGACTAACTAATAATAACGCCAAAGGGCTTTACGAACTGACACCAAGGGGTCTTGACCATGTGTCCATGACGACCCGGGAGTAAGAACGGGTTGACCAATAAGATCAATGGAAAAATCACCATTCCTACATCCTGACGGGGACAAAAGTACAAACTGATCGAGAGAAGGAGATATTTTAGAGGTAAATAATCGCTTTGAATAATTATTTTCACATTTTTTTATATCCAGTGTGGGATATTTGGTGGGGAGTTCACAGTTTAGCACACTAACGATCACAGCTGTATATTAACAGTGCAGGGTTCCCGTTATATATAAATATATATACACACACACACACTTTATATACCCACTACGGACTTTTGTTAGCAGACAAAACCACGCACAGTTTAGTAGCACAATAAATTAGAAACGCAACATTTCGGTCAGATTCCATTTCTTCTCTGTTTCGGCATCAGAAACAGCCTTAAGTTTTTACACACTTATTGATAATGTTTTGTTCACCGTGAGCACCAACATGTAACTTTGAATAATAGATAAATAAAAGCATTGTCCATTTTTCTCATTCTAGGATTTCATGTCAGTGAATATGACTTTTTGACCCGGTGAAAAGGCCATTATTTCTAATTTCCCCTGGTTCACGCCTCCTTGTTTTCTGATCTGCTGTTTGTCGTGTTAATTTCCTGTTAATGAAATCTCAAGGCTTCCTCCATCTGTTTCACATTGAAGTGCAAATTAACAGCAGCTGAACATTGTGGAAGCCCAGCTGCAGTCACTCTTCAGTAACAGGGAGGAGAACTTTGTCAGCCCATGAAGGTTTTTTTCACAGCGGAGTTTAAGCTGGTCCCTTCTGAGCCATCTTGTAGATTTGTTCATTTTTCTGTGAGGTGCTTTCTTCTGCAGTCAGTCGGCGGCGATGTGGCCAAAGCTTGGGGTCAACTCATGAATATTAACCAGCAAAATGCAGAAAGACTAAAAGCATCACGTTTTCCTTTTGTTTGGGTTGAAGACATACAGATGTGAATAATGAATCAAATGATAAACTCACAAAAATGCTGAGGCATGCAGTTCAGGGGATAAACACAGAGGAAGAAGGATAAACAGAAACATCCAAAACCACGACAGAGTCCAGAAGTAAATCAAGACACACAACAGATCAACCCATAAACAGGAGGAAGACTCGTGACAACACAAACTAACAATCCAAAGACAACTGAAGCAGAGACAGAGGCTTAAATACACTAATGGGGAGGTGACAAACGAGGTCCAGGTGAAAACAATCAGACAATTAACACTGACAGGAAACAAAGCTGGACAAGACACAAGAGGCAGAACACTTCAAAATAACACAGGAAGTAAAGTACACACAAACACACAAGGACAGATTTAACAAAACAGAACGAATCACAAAAACTAAACATAGACCCCAGAGACCGGGAGTGATCAACAACTGAAACACACCAGGGAGGGCATAAACAATTATAACACAGTGAAATATAAAAACCACAAACACAACATTTTTAGGTCAACATGTGCAAAACAGCTCACAAACAGTAATACAAGACCTGCCCCCCCTGCAAAGGCTGGCACTGCTATGGGTATTTGAATCATCACAATCGTGGACTGTCAGCACCAGAGGCTTCAACTCAGCAGCACACTGTAATTATAACTTTAATAATCTGCTACTTTCTACACTTATACATGGTCTGTGTGTGTTGGCATTTCACTGTGCAATCCTGTATAATGACAATAAAGCTGAACCTTGAACCTTATTATCACAGCTGGCTAGCGGGTGTTAGCTACTCAGCTATAGACAGCGACAAACTGAACTGAGCGAGTCCAACCACTGGGCCGCCAACTCCCGTGAGCTCCGATCAGTGTTTGTTTCTCTCGTAGATGGGATTTTCAACTGCCACATGGAGTCAGTAAAGTGCGGCATATCAAACACAATCATTTTGTGCAGATTAGATGTTAGACACACTGTGTAAAAATAAAAATTAGAATTAATCAAATTATTTTACATTTTGCCTTTACAACCCTTTGCGAAAAGGCTAAATTCACTTCTTGCTCTTCTTATTTTGGCTAATTAAGCTAATTAATAAGCAGTTTTATTCTGTCAGTGGCTCAAATTGGTCATTTATTACCTCTTCAATAGAGTAAGTAACTTAAAATGTACTGGAGCTGTGCCAGAAGCCTGTTGAAGTCTTTTCACAGAGGTCAAAACAAGATCCTCAACATCTCTTTTCTGTTTTCAGCTAGCTGCTCTGTGATTGGCTGATCGCTGTCGTTAGTATCAAGATGGCCCACCTCTTCCTCGCCAGTAAGATCACGATGCCGGACGACCTCCACTGCAAAGGCGGCGCCAGGATCCCCAGGAGTGCCATGAGGATGCCAAAATCGATCTCTGCTGAGAAGCTGAGTCGGGACAGGGCCAGGAAAGACCACAACGTCATCGTGACAACGCACGTCCCACATGTCAACGAGGTCCAGCTGACAGCGGCCACTGGTGGCGCCGAGATGTCCTGCTACCGCTGTACCGTCCCATTCGGTGTGGTCGTCCTCATTGCCGGCATCGTGGTCACTGCTGTGGCGTACACCTTCAACTCCCACGGGTCCACCATCTCAGTGCTGGGACTGGTGCTGCTGTCTGCTGGACTGGGCCTGCTGGGCTCCAGTGCCGTCTGCTGGAGGGTCCGCCTGAGGAAGAAGAAGGACAAACGAAGGGAGAGCCAGACCGCCCTCCTGGCCAGCCAGGGGTACTGCATAGCCTGATCAAATGCAAAGGACGGTCCAGTCCTGAGTGGAGTTCAGGTTTAGGCCCTTTTAATCAAAAAAGTCAGATGGTGGACTTGAGGGACACAGTGAACATAAACTGGTGAAGAGCTGGCATCACTCATGAGGTGGCAATGACTGCAGACACCTAAAAGGACTCAAGGCTGTAATGGTTCAAGGGTAAAGGATGAGTGTTTAGACACATCGCAAGAATATCCAGCAGCAGAAAATACTGGATTATGGAGACTTGAAACTCAGAAAGTCCCGGACGATGGACTAAACCTTCTCTTTCAAAGAGAAGTACCGAGACGATGTGTTTAATAATCAATTATTCAAAAGACTACTGTGATAATCATTAAGGTCATTTATGAAGCCAAACATTTCATCTGCTTTCAGATTCTCAAGTGTTTCACATCATTTGGGTTTTGGACTGTTGTGGCACAAAACAAAGCAATTTGCAGACGTCAGCTTGAGTGCTGAGAAGTTTTAATGATCAACTTTATCTTCGCATGTACAGGGACTTACAGGTCTGCGAACTACACCCTTCTATAAATCAATTTCTGTTGATTTCCCAAAGATAATCAAAGCAAACAGAGCAGAGGCTCTGAACACTTTTAGAGGTTTTAGATGTTTTAGTTTTAGATATTTTAAATGTTTCTTAGATATTAAAATTGCTGCACAAAGTAAATTTAATCAATTTTAAATTACATTTGAAACAAAGCGTTCAAAACACTCACACAGGACTGTCTAATCTATACTTATTATCATACAGGACCTGTATGCCAACCTCCCAATGCTTTTATTCTGAATGTCAGAGTACCATATTGGGAGTTTTATTGTTGCTTTAAATGATTCATCAACAAAAACAGTCTGCAGATTAGTTGTAGCTCTACAAAGCTCATCAATGATGTACAGTATATCTAATGATATGATGCCAATAAGCTATAATATACAATTAACAAGGTACTCTGTTGTTGAAGATTCTCTTTCAGTGATAAGCTCATTTGTGATCTCAGCACTCCGCACGTTACGTTTCTTTCTGAGCAGACAGAAGACGCCTCAGAAGACACCACCCTCTGCCGAGTAACCGGTCAGAAGACAGGATTTTGACTTTGTGTATGGAGCTTAATCATGGAGTAACATTGTGAATACTGAGCTCACAGATGGGGATACTCTCTGATATGCATGCCACTTTGTGTGTTTAAACTAGTGCACTATGATCCAAAGTGATGAAAAATAACCAAATGTCATGTATTCCACTGTATTAAAGAACTCTGAGGGTTAATCTGACACTGTCTCACTTTCTTGTACCTTGAACTGGTGGTCAGTCTACTTATTCCTTCTCAGTAGACTTTTGTTTTATTAAACTCAAGATTAAAGTCTGAACCTGAAGCCGAACTACTTCTTCTTAATTCACTAAGGAGTTTGTATTCAGAGCCGGTTGAGGAGCGACTGGAAAGTTATTACAGCTCGGCTGTTATATTTAGTTGTGTTTATGTTGCCTAGCATCCCACAGACACACGACCAGATAATAAACCAGATAGGGAGGGTTGGAGGCCGGGGTTGCGTCATTAGGGGGAGGCTGCGGTGACGGGTAACGGTTACAACGCGTTGTCACTTCTGCAGTGCTAACTTTATCTGCACTGGCGTGCTGCATCCTGGGAATGTGAGAGAGGGAGGGGGCGTGAGAGTGGAAAGAGAGAGAAGCAGTGTTGCATCACCTCAGTGGATCTTCAGTCTCGTTCTTGCAGACTGTTCGGAGGAGGTCCGGTTCCTGCGAGGGTGAAAATAGAAGCAGTGAAGTGGAAAAATATCAGAACCTCACAGGAAGTGGACCCACAGTCAGCAGACCGCTACCTGCTGATCACCTCTTCTAAATAAACTGTTCCAACTCTGCTGATAACTCCCATTGGTGGAAAATAACTGAGAACAGAAGCACTGTACAAATTAGAGGTGACTGTACTTTACCTCCCATTTAATTCCAGTTTATACTTCTACTGCACTTATTAAGAGTTCCTCCTTCTCCTTCAGCTGAATAAACTCTTGGATAAGCTGGAAAATGCATCGTCACAAAGCTGAAAAGCTGTTTTTCTGACTGTTTAGAGATACGAGATTCTCACGGGACAGCAACGCCACAAACACTTATAGACCATGATGCATTGCTTCGATTAAACAGGATATAAAGGAGTTATGTGAGAGGGACTCCTTCGTGAACGTCTATCTCAGTTTTGTTGTTTGTTCATTTTTTCCTCATAATTACAACTTAGAATCAGAATCAGCTTTATTTGCCAGGTATGTGTTCACATACGAGGAATTTGACTCTGGATTGTACATTGCTCACGATGTGCTTACTCATACAATGATACAAAAAAAATACAGTATAGAGAGCACATATGAACACACTATAAACAAAAACAATATAGACAGAGTGATTAGAAATGATCAGAAATGACCACATATCTTTAGTACTTCCTACTAAAGCGGCTGGCGTTATCGCCAAACCCCATGAGTTATTAATTAGTCATTATAAAAATGGTTAACTTGAGAAGTTGCTGCGTGCGTTACAGAGCCGTGGATGCTTTGCCATGATTAACATGGAGGTTTGTTTATGGAGATCGAGGCTCCACTTTTATCTGACTTTGGCTCATTAAGTGGTTCAAAACCGGATTACAATTACTTTGATTAGGAGTCTTCCTGGCAGCTCTGTGAGGCTGAACTGAAGCACACATCAGCATGCTAACATGCCCACAGTGTCAGCTCTAACATGCTAATGTTTAGCAGCTATTATCCAAGCAAGGTTAAAATCAGGGGCAGCTGGACTGTGTTAAAGATACTCAAAGACATTTTGCCTCTCATCCAAGAGGCTTCTTCAGTTCTGACTGACTGGCAGGGAGTCCCAGCTGTTCAGCCTCTGTGGGGTCGTCAGCACTAACGAACCAGGAGTCCCGATCATCTTGACGATGACCTCGCAGAGGTTAAACAGCTGGGACTCTCAGCCAGTCAGTCAGAACCGTCTTGGATAACTATGACCTGGATGACTGAGAACCTTCACGGACAGCAGGTCCCACTTTCACAGTCATAGTTTAGCATGTTAGCATGCTAGCATTAGCAGCTACAAGCAAAGTACAGCAGAGGCTGAGTCATAAACCAAAGTACTGAAGATTTGACCTGATGGTGGCGCTAGAGAAAAAGTCAGAAGATCACAAACATGATATGGATTTATTATCTGAAAACTATGAGATATCTTTATCATTCCTGGCAATCCGATTGACTGACCGACAGACCAACATTTCCATCCCTAGCATTAAAAACTGCTCTTCTAGTTTGCCCATTTTTGATGATGTACCTCTGTGGTGGGGGTAAGTCATGTGTTACTGTCACTAAGCTTTGTTTCGGGGCAGAACGAACGATCACGGACTCTTTTGTTTCTGAGACTGTGTGTGTGAGGAGGGTTCAGAGGGGAAATCCCGACCCTCCCTTCCCGTCCTGTAACACAGTGACCAGCTGAGTGACCAGAGGTACAACACAGTGGCACCCCCTCCCCCCTTAAACACACCCCAGACTCTCAGCCAGAAAAGGCCTGGCACGCAAAGAGACAGGGAACCGGCAGGATTAAAAGGGATCAGCCAGAGAACAGGAAGGTTTCTGTTCCTACACGCCCTTTAGCAAAACTTTGAAATAATTCCCCTGCAGGCGTGTGAATGTTCTGCCATCAGACAAACCTCAAGGTCAGCAGAGTCAGCTGAGGCTAAAGAGAGCTGAGTAACCCGCTTCCAGACCTCTGAACCAGTGCCAACTCGGATTTTTAATAGGTCTAGTGTTGGTCATATAAAAATGTTTCATCCTATTTAAGCAATTAAGCAAGTTGTAAAGTAGGACTTCTGCAGCTCTGTTTGCCAGCATGAACAGAAATCTCTGCTATCACTGTAAATCAGCAGGGGACCATGCTGTGTGGTCAGAGGTGCTTCTCATTAACTTCCTCGTTTAAAACTCCAGTGATCACGGCTGCACTGAGCATCTACTGCACACCGTGTAACATCCAGGTCAAGCTTTTAAAGGTGTTTCTGCTCCAGGCTGAATGTTTTCCCGCGTCAGACTGACAGGTAGCCCACTGAGAACCGATGAGTCACCTTTACTGCTGTACATTTAGAAGGTAGATCAAGTCATGGTAAAATCTTTTTGCACTGCAAGATGGTGTAATAAGAGAAAACATCCTGCGTCACCAAACAACTGTATACACATACGTGCAGTTTACAGTGATAATGGTGGCAGATTAACAACTAAAGATTTGTAGAAATTTTTGAAACAATGGTTCCTTGACATTCCTTGACAGATGGAAAGACTAAATTGGTGGAAAATGTATTGTTGAAAAAAAGAGTGAACTTGATGAGTTTAAATCAGATTGAGACTGCAGATCTGCGAAGGAACGTTTTACCTACACAAGTTGAAGTGGTTGCAGTGCTGAGGAGAGAACGGCTGAAAAAAATCGATGAAAGTACCCAGACTACCGAAATCAAATCAATGAGAGACTGGATGAAAGAAAACAGGCACAATGTCGAGGCAAGTTCGAACAGTACAATACAGTTCGTCTCTGTGAGGAAGTCAAGTCTTTATGCAACACAACATTCATTTGCTTCTCTCTGCTGAAACACTAATGAATATCTCACACAGTTTCTACTGCAAACACACAACAAGTGAGCTCATTACAGTCAGAGCGAGCAGAGAGTGGGAGCGAGAGCGGAGGTGAGGTTTAATTAGCTGTCAGCTGACAGACTGCAGCTGCCGCTGACAGGTGGGTGAATCGGTAATGAGGCTGGGTGTCAGTCAGAGCTGCTGGGAGGCTCGTTACCGACTCGCACAAAACCTTCCTGCAGAGTCGGTGCTAAAACTGGAACCTCACAGGTCGAGTCTTTACTGGCGTCACTTCTCTCTGCTGAGATAATTAAATTAAAGCTGAGAGCAGTGATAAGGCGACCAGCGTTTAGGAAGGTTTAGCATCTGTCGAAGCCTATTTTCATAGTTTTTACCTTCATGGTAACATTAGTCGTTTCCAAATGTAGAGCGAACTTTAACTGAATTCTCACAACTGTTATGCAGATGTTAGACGTCGGACGCACCAAGCTTAGCAGTTGGTGGAGCAGATTCTCTAGTGGGTGCTATTTAACCCCTGCAGTAGAAGACAAAGAAATCATTAAAATATGTCAAAGTACAACTAAAGTTACAGTTTCCTCAGCGCTCCACGGATCTTGAGTGACATTTCTTCATTTCCATAAACTAACTTTTCCAACTGAGCATAAAAAAGTTGGATGGAAATGCTTTTGTTGTGTCTCAGGTGCCAGGATGCTTCAAACTAAGTTCTCGTAGGATGGTTAAACTCCACCCTACACCTCTGCGTTGCTTCACTTTATCTTGTACCTTCCTGTGTACACCAGAAGTGGAAATGTGTGTCTTCTGCTGCTTACGTCTTAGCAAACATCAGACCAGTTTCATAATATAACGAATGTCAAGGACAGACTTTCTCTTAGTTTCTTCCAGCTCTGACAAACATATCACCAGCTTTACACTGCGCCAGGATCAGCTGCTCATGTTGCCGCTATCATAGTCTGGTCAGAATGTGATGGCATTTGTGTTTTTCTAAAAGGTAAATATATTTACAGACAGTCAGAATTCTTCTCAGCGCTGTTGAGATAACAAATGTCACAAAAAGAAAGATGTAGCTCGGTAGTTCAGCTTGAAGCTGCGAGTTCTGGAAATGATTCTGAGCTGCGGAGGTTAAATCTTTACATCTGTCTTTTGACTGGGAAGTAGTACACACTCCCAAAGTGACTCAGCTCAAAGATTTAGAGTCCAGTAAATCTGTCTTTAGAGACAACAGCTTGATTCAGATGGATTTTTATGCCAGTCGAAAGGATTTATGCTTGCTTGATCTCCAGCGAGGAAAATGTTAAATGAAATGAAGAAGTTACAAAATGGAAGCTCTCAGGTTGCAGGCATGACAGGTGGAAGGTAGGCCATGTTTTTTTTTAAATTTCAACATTTGATGGTGATTCATTGATGTTAAAATGCAACGCACCCTACAGGAAAAGCAGGGGTTGATCTAGCTAAACATTAGCAGCGTTTCAGAACAAGCAAGGGATGCAGGATGCGTCTCAGCATGCTGTCTGAGAGGCCAAGTGGCTCCAGTTGGTCTGCGGTGGGAAAGATCCTGTGATAGAAGCTGGTTTCAGCCCCTGAAGGAGACCGACCAGCAGGGCCAACAATGGCATGGAGGCCCCAAAAGGCCCCATTAACCCGGGAGAGGCACTTCCTTTCATCCGTCCCCTCAAACTTTTTCTCTGCATCTGTTTCTTTCATTTGCTGGCGTGGTGATGGATTGAAAGGCTCATTGAAATAATAGGGTGTGCTTGTAGCTCCCAGCTTGTGTGTGGGTGCTGTGGCAGACCGGAGGGGCGTGCTCAGCGGTGCCGCCTCAACGCAGGAAGAGGACATTGTTTTTCAAAAGAATGGCAGCCACATTTTGATTGCCATCGTGGCCCGCTGCCGTTCCTCCAGTCAGTCTCCCAGCTGTTCTGAAAAGATTGTGATAAGAAGGCTGTTCTTGAGAGAGGTGACTCCAGTTCCTTTAAGCAACACAATGCCCTGCATCAGGAGTGCCGGACCTGAGCTGTTCAGCCTGCAGGGTCAGCATGGAGCGATGGTGTTCGCAGTCACACCTGCAGTAAACTCTTCTGCATTTGTAGGAATAGCCATCAGTCTGTCCACCACTTTGACCCAGACAGAAACATCTGAACAGCTATCTGCCTGAAATTTGGTTCTCATATCCATGCTCCACTTGGCACAAGTCATGAAAACTTTGGCGATCCCTTTGAGGAACAGTTTGACATGTTGGGAAGAATGCTTATTCGCTTTCTGGCGACTACTTCTTGGCAGGGACCAGTGACTTCCTGGAGGCTCCGCAGTGTCAGCGTATAGACTCAAGTCAGACATCAGACAGATTAAACGCCTGTGAAAAGTTTTACAGAGAAGCAATATGGTCGGCGTTAAAGGTTCTTTGGAACTGGATAGATTTTGTGTCCCAGTTTCACCTCAGATCTGAAAGGGTTTTTTCATTCAGCTTTAACCTGATTCCAGAGAAGACTTTCTCCAGCTGTCCCATACTTAAACCACATTTGTTCTACATTAACAGCTCTGTGTTAAAGTTGGAAAAGACACAATAACTCCAGGAATTACATTCGTATTGAGCGATTCTGCAGAAGACAATGTATGTCCAGTGTTAATGTAGAAACCAAATAACACCAGGCAGCCCAGTCACAGCCTTGAACCTGCCTGACTGTCACTGAACAACATTGCCAGAGTTTTTTTTATTGGTCATGGGTTTCAGACAGGTGGCATGGCGGATAGTGTGACTGGTTGTCTGTCTCTGTGTGGCCCTGCGATGGACTGGCGACCTGTCCAGGGTGGACCCCGCCTTTCGCCCGATGTCAGCTGGGATTGGCTCCGGCCCCCCGTGACTCTGTACTCAGGATAAGCGGTTGAATGATGAATGGGTTGAACAGTTGAGGTTGGATCCATATTCCTTTATGTTTACAATCTATCCATAATTGTCTCATACTGTCATTTTACTATGTTGGTTTATTCTGCAGACATCGATTGCTGCCAACATTTTCTCCAACTTCAGGATAAGAACTTTCTACATCTACAGGGGAAGGACTCCACGAATCTGCTGGTCAGTCTCTCCAACAAACCACCTCTAATGGTCTACAGGGTGATGCTAGGGTTTGAAAAGCAGCTGCAAGTTTCACACCCAGCTCAGGAACGTTTAGTTTCATCCTTCAGAAATCAGTTTTGACTGCCTGTCTTACTGTTTGGTGGGTCATACTGATCTTAAACCATTAGCAGGTCACTTCAGCTTGTTTGGGTGTCCTCTCTCTAAAGTCTAATATCCGCTTTGCTATATTTTTCCTGCTGTTATTTTTACCCCGCCTTTTTTCCCTCGCAGCGCTCACCATCTGCTGTCGAGGACAGTAGTTAGGTGTCCCTGGTTTGAAAGCTATTTCCTGATTCTGTTATTCTACAGCATTTTTTGAAGAGACTGGATATCCTCTTTTCATTTTTCTGTGTTTTATTTAGACAGGAGAAGGGTTGAGAGGTTTAAAGACAGACAGAGGTCTACAGACAGTGCATTCAAACTCAATCTGAAGGCTCTCTGCCCCAGTTTCTGCTGTGAACTCACTGAATGTTTTCTCAGTACGACTGAAACGTGTTGAGGCTTCTCATGAATCTACGTAGGAACTGAGAGACGTCGGGACACATGAGACGCTGCAGCGCTGATGCAGAACAGATGCAGGATGAATCCAAACAACATGAAGCATTTTCAGAGCAGTAAACTAGTGTATCTGGGTGACGGGGTCACGTTACATCAGTCTCTCCGGTATACATTCAGTACTGTGATCCTATTGGTGCTCGGGTTTCCTGTTCAGAAGTTGCTGTTCTGTTCTAACTCTTCAAATAAGCTGAGGAAGAGCGTCGTAGTGAGCATGAGCGGCGAGAACCAGAAACTCAACACACGTCAACAGAAAAGACAAAGAAGAAATGATTAATCATGTTGCATTCAATTTGATTACCTCTCTCCACACTAGTTAGAAATATTCATACCAGTAATAATTTGTTTTCCACGGAGATTTTGAATCCCAGTGTTTGATTTTAAATGTAATTCAGAGGATTTGTCTCCATGAAAGGAAAATAAAGCAGCTGGAAACGGGGATAAAGCTTTCAGTTTGTACTACATGTCACCGCCAGGTCTGATGCAGCAACTTCACGCAGGTCACTGACTCCGGCGGAGGGTGAATGAATGATCTGCAGGACATGTGATCATATGCATACTTTTTACAACCTCTGCGTATCGTTCAGTTACACTGAAAGCAGGGTTTGGATATTAGGCGCCCTGTCATAAACTATTTTCACTCTATTTACAGAAAAGAATTCAATTTAAACTTTTTTCCAGTATGAAATGTTTGATTATTGTTTTTATTATTTGTGCTGTTGATGCTGACAACACAGTCCCTCATTATCACGGCTTTGCAGCTCATGATCAGATAAAGATTTTACATTTTGGTGACAGTTCCTGTCAGCTGTCAGGTCATAAAGGCAGGGACACCCGGGTATCTCAAGCACTTTGCAGTTTTGCCCCTATGTGCAAAACAAACATGATGATGGGCCCTCTGCAGCGACGGATTACAGTACTGGCCTAACGGGCTCACGCCCGGGGCCCCAAGTGCCAAAGGGGCCCATAGAGCTATTGCTGAAGTTACGCTGTGTGGAAGTTTAGTTTTGGGGGGTGTTCTATACAAGCTTTCATCGACACTCGAAAGGCATGAATTTCTGACGCATCAATGCGTGTCATTCACTTTCTGCACCCTGTTGCACATGAAGCTGGTGCTTCAGACAGCCTGAGCCCGCCACAGGTGCTAAATGAACTGAATGGGGCTTTAAACACTTCAAATCGAGGCCCTGCAGTAACCGTCTGACAGGAGAAAAGTTTGAACACCAGCAGCCAACGTTGTCAGAACTGACCAGATCAGTCAAACCCTACCTCGTCCATGCACACTGAGATAAACAGCACAACATATGGTCCCAATGCAGATTATAGAAATCCTCCTTTACTCTGTGTGATGAAATCCATACAGACTTCAACAAGAAGCCTCTGCAGCAGATTGTGTTTGCTGCTCAGGATTTAAAGACGCAGCAGGTTTCGACCACGGTGGACCTGACGCATCACCTAATTACAAAGACATGTTACAGCCACTGTAAGGATAAAAAATATCCAACACGTGGAAGATGGTGACAACTGCAGCTGCAGCGACAGCTCTGCCTCGACTCGTTCTATAGAAAAGAGAATAGAAACAAGGTGAAGTTAGTTTCACGGCTGTTTCCTTCAACAGCTCCGTGTCAAAGCCTCGATTTCTCCCAGTTGGAGAGCTAATTCAGACAGACGTTTCACAGTTTGATCACCTGAAAATCACCAAAGACGTCGAAGCAGTTTGCAGCGCTAAGACCTGAACATCTGTCCAACGCTCCCCCTCCTGTTGTTTTTAAATATAAAGATCTCAAACCACTGCCAATACAGACAGTGACCACCCTTTAAGACTTCACACCTGTGAGTATGTAAAGAAAAGTTAAGAGTTAAGTATTCATTAAATAATTAATTTTCACTTTAATTACTACTCAGTATTGTTAGTTTTGACTGCAAAACATACAACACAACATTGTGTTCAGCAGCCAAAATCTAAGTCTGACATAAGTGCATATTGAGGGTATAACAGTACTTTGACGTGAGCTCTGTAGTTTCATCTTATTTACTGAAAGATCCAAATCTGCACGTGTGACTATGTTTTGTCCTCTTAATTATTTAGCGATAGAATAACAATCTGTTAAAGCTGTAGTTTAACTTCACCGCGGTCGAGGTCTGTCCAAATATTTTGACTTTATTCTTGAAATAAAAGCAGCAAGTGAAAGAGGATGGATTTGTAGTCACCTTGAGATGATGCTCTGCCTGTAAGGCTCAAATGTGGGCAAAAAAAAAGCCCACAACTGTCCTGAAGCAGGACCATGGCATGCGCTGTGACCTTAAATGCTTTTAATGTAATTTGATTTCAAATGTAAAAATAATCACTCAGAGTGACATAATAAAGCAGTTGTTTAATACGTATTACATGACTCCCAAAATCCCCAGAGTGACGCTCATGGCAGGCTGACAGGTGTGCGCTTTCCTCCATTTTGCTGAGTGTAATTTTGTCACTGCACTAAACTGTTTGTTGAGTTGGGAAAAATCAAAATGGTGGCTTAAGTTATTAAAACTGAGCAGCTTTAATCATTGGCTGTTGAAATTCAAGGTTGAGGAGCAGCGAGGATTAATGTCTTTTAAAGCACAAAGCTTCATATCCACCCTGGCCTGCTGTCACTGCCTCTCTCTCTCTCTCTCTCTCTCTCTCGCAGCTGATCCCTGTCATCTCATCTCTCTGATGCCGTCCTCTGCTGTCTTTTGCTCTTTCTCTCTCTAGCCAGCTGTCCGTCCCCCGTCCATCGCCGCCGTCTTTTTGTCTGCTGCTTCTCTTTCACCCCCCAGATATCTCTCTCTTTCCCTAATTTCCTTTCTGCTGATTTTCCCATCATCTCTTCCCTCTCTGGATCCGGGGCGAGATATGAAGCGGCACCATGGGTTTCATGGAATTCTACCTGGAGATTGACCCCGTCACCCTGAACCTGATCATCCTGGTCGCCAGCTATGTCATCCTGCTCCTGGTCTTCCTCATCTCCTGCATCCTGTACGACTGCCGGGGCAAAGACCCCACCAAGGAGTACGCCCCCGACAGCACACCGGCGCCGCCCAGCCAGTCGCCCATACGCCTGGTGGTCATGCAGAACTCGCCCACCTCGTCCCGCTACGAGCCCAACAACACGGCCGGCCACGGCGAGCTGCCGACGCCAGACCTGAGCCGGGAGAGAGGAGAGAGGGAGCGGGAAAGAGAGAGGGAGAAGAGGAGTACTCTGGTCTGAGGAAGAGGAGGAGGGAGGTTCTGACAGACGACCCTGAAGTGCTGCTGAATCACTTTGTACAGACTCTTATTTTTACTTTTAAACATCCCTGGACGGTGTTGGCGAGCTGCTGAGTAGGTCAGCGGGAGGTAAGCAGCCAGCAGGGCCGACCCCGGTCTGAACCCCCCCGCCCACACACCTGCATATAAGCAAACATGTACAGCAGAAGAAATCACCTGATGAAACAACTGTTAAGCATTGCAAATACCAAACTCCTAAATGTATAGTTTTTATTTTACATTCATTCGTTATCTGCAAACAAACAATATCAGTTACAATATGTAACGATGTAAAACTCAATCAAAAAGGAGCCGTGAGAAGCCAGACGTCCTGCTTCTGAAAACAAGTCACATAAGTAGTCAGACATGTGGTCTGCCAATGCTTTCAGCAACAGTTTGTGTGTAAGTGGCTGCACAGATATTACTCGTCAGGCTCACATTGTTCAGTCAGAGTGTGCATCTTTAAATACTTAAATTTTAAGACTAAACTAAAAAACTTGTGTTCAAGGCTCCATGGTGACCAGGGAGTCCTAAGCAGCTGCCCGTGCCTCTGGTTTTCATCACATGACAGGGATCCAAACTACAGCTGCAGCTAATTATTGTGTGTGTAATCATCCGCGGACTTTGACTTGGGTCTTACGTTGCTCTCAGTGTACATACACAAAAACAGGCACAGACACAGCGTACAGTACACACACATACACACACCATTAAGACAAACCACACAGACAGTAGTGTGGGAGGCAAAGCATGCTGGAATAAATATGTTTGGGTTAGGTTAGGTGTTATTATGTGCATGGGGTAGGTGGATATGATATAAACTGTATATACAATTTAAATAGCTACTGAAATGATATGAATAAACAATAATAAATAGTAAACAGTATACAGGTGAAGTAGATGTCAGAGTCACACGGTGCACATGTTCCTGACACTGTGTGTCTGGAGTTTGATTATCAGATACATTTTTGCGTATAGCGTGTGAAAACGGTGAAAATAATGCCCGTTACTAGTTCCCAGAGTGCATCGTGAAACCCCATAGACTTTCCATTTTTATGACGACTACAATGCTACATTTAAAACTGATTACTAGGGGGAAGACCAGAAGTTAGGGGCTTGAGAGTGAATGCAGTTAGTGGAACGTCCCCATAGGGCTAGTGAAGGAAGGTTGTGCTTTTGGGGGGGGTTAAACTGCCACATCTGCGTGCCACAATGTTGTTTTGTTTTATCATTTACGGTACAATGACAACAACAACAAGACCCAACACTTATCAGTCTGGTTCAGAGGCTTCAAAACACGAACAAAAGGTCGAGGGGAAACGTGAAAATGGTCGCGGTAACTAAAAGTGAAAGCAAAATTGTATTTAAAATTTAAACAAGATTAGTATTCCTCTAAAATAAAGCACATCAGCTGAAGCGTCCATGTGAACATCTGTGTGTGTGTGTGTGGTCATCTGTTCATCCCATACATGCAGGACTGTGCCAGGGTTCTGTATGTTCTAGCTGTAATCCGCTGTGCATTAGCAAATGCATGGAAATCAATTATTACTGATATGTGTCTGAATACGTAACACGAATCGAGGACATCGTCACAACACGCGGGTCTGAGCAGCTGATTCGCCCCATTCTGTTATAATCAGATTAACAGCAAATCAAAACCTGATTAACACGTTTCAGGCTGCAGTCGGCGGCTCTCCTGTCAATGCAATGAAAAGTATAGTTCAGTCCAACTCCACTGGAGCTGCTGCAGACATCTGCGACTGTGGGGTATCTATTCAAACATTTTGAAACCAGTACGACTCTTTGACGTCTTTCTTACACAATATGTTTCCATAAATCCTGTTGTTTGTTGTTGTTTTCCACAACAAAAGCCAAACTCCTCAATGCATCAGTATTAATATTGTCTGAACATGAATATTAACATTAATTAAGTTTACAAATGTTATGTAAATTTGGAAATATCTGATTTAAAATTAGATAACAAGAGTCTTACAGATAACCTATAAGCAAACTCCACATGCTTTGCAGTTAACGACTGTTTGGTGATTTTTTGTTATTACAACCGCCCTGTTGCCAGAAAAGAACATCGATTTTTGACAATTATGCCAAACCCTGGACACGTTCAACAGTTTTGTGTCCAATTATTATGTGTCCAATTATTATTATGTCCAATGTCTATGATTTCTTTTTTGAGCGATTTGGTATCCCTACCGTTTCAGAGTGTAATTCACCGTGGACGTTAATAAGGATAGCTGTACGCGTGCCTTTGTTAGACAGCCAAACATCAAGCAAGTGCGACAACACAAGCCCCGTCAATATTACTGACTAGTCCAACAGGAAGAAGACCAGCACGCTGTCTGTCCTAAATCTCTTGCCAACGTCCGGCAGCCTCTTGCTTGTGCACTCTGTTTTTCTCTTCTTAGCTTCCTCCGTCAGCGTCCTCTTTAGTCTCTTTGCCTCAGCCATTAGCTAACATTACGTCCATTGAGGCTGCTGAGCCCGGTTATGTTGCCTGCTCGCCCAGCTCTCTCCACCAGCAGCAGCATAATGTTGAAACTTGGGTGGCAAGCTAGCCAACAAAGGTAGACAGCAACTGACGAAAAAGAACTGACAGTAATGTTACCGATGTCCGAGTGTTGCTAACACCAACTCCAGATTTATAGCTAGCGATTTTGCACGAGGTAACAGCTTTGCTAACAGCCAAACGGTCTTTTGCCCGGTCATTCTCTCTTTTTCTCTTCCTTGCTTCCTCCACTATCTTCTTTAGTCTCTTTAGCCTCTGCCATGATATCCATACTGAGAATACTGAGCGAGTTTCTATCAAAGAACTCACATGGTACATAATATACAGTACTGCCGGTTCCCAATCCACCACCCCGACCTCCCCACCTTGCTTTCCACTTATCTACAATTTGCAAGAGGATAAGAACTTTCACAGCAGAAACATCATGAATCAAATATAATCTGAATGTTTCTTGTAAACCATTTTAAACCTAACATTTATGTAAACAAATGTGGCATTGCTTTCTCATAATTATAAGACGCTAAGTCGTAATTATAAGGCATAGAAGTCGAACAGACAACGTCCAGCAGGGGCTGATGGGAGTTTTTTTTAGCTGTGCAGATATTTGGTCATAAATCACAATCTTTGTCTTAATATTACCCAAAGTGCTAAGTTGTGTTGCTTCAACCTAACCACACATAGGACTCCAGAACTTTGTACCACCACATCCACTCTGTTCATGTAGCAGACAAACATATTACTTTATTTACCTTAAAAGGCTTGACACTGAACATTATGTGTGCAGCAATTATGTTTTCACTGGGTGTTTCACTGGATGCTTAAAAACTCTGACCTGCCGTGGTGGACAAACCAACCGACCAATCACAGAGCACCCTTATTGACATCACGTTCCTGAGCTTGGAGCGACATGGCTAAAATTGTTTCAGAAAACACTTTCATGATTGGTCTTTAGTCTGGAGTTCTGGCTTTCACTAGCTGTGTCGGAACCGTCCAGTATTAAAAATAGACTGCTGGGACACTTCCCATGATGCACTGAGCTCCTCTCCATCTGTTTGCATTCTCATCACATTGATACGTGTTACCAACTCCACTTCTTCCCTCTCCAGTAATTTTGTGCTTTCTTGTCCCTCTCCTCTCTCCTCTGCCGCTTGTTGCAGGTGTTTCTGGCTCTAGACCTGTGGGGTCTGGATCTGTGGTTGCAGGCTTCCTGCTGCCCCCATGTTCATGCTAGACACCAGATACTACAATATTATATAGTCCTATTACTTGTAGAATTACGACTACCAATACTATTATTTTACATCTCTATGTGGAACTTGTGTTGGGCAACTGTGTGTTCTCCTTCCTTCACTTCCTTCCACAACCCAGCCGGTTGAGGCAGTTGACCGCCCACCCTGAGTCATGGTTCTGCTCAAGGTTAGAAACCTTGAGCAGAAGGTTTCTCCTTGCCACTGTGACAAAGTGCTTGCTCATTTGTGGTAGTTGTTGGGTCTCTGTAAATATTATTACACAGAGTACGGTCTAGACTTGCTCTACATGAAAAGTGAAATAATATAACTTCTCTTATAAGTTTGCGCTATATAAATTGAACATGTATAAAACAGCGACACGCTGAGTGGACCGAGCAGGATGAAGAAGAACATCAGCAGCACCAGACTGAGTCTGTTGGCTCCCCTCCCCCCAAACTCTGGACCCTGAGGTCCCAGACTCTAAGCTCTTCACCCTGCTGCATGAAGCTCTGAACCAGCCTGCAAATCCCCTGCCTGACCCCTTACCCCCTCCCTACATCACTAAGATGAATTTAGCTGACAAAATAAACCCTCTCTGGACAGGGAAATAATGAATGGATCGACGGATGCGTGTTCGTCACTCATCCCTTTGACGTATGCTGGACTGCAGCCCTTTGGTGGCCTTTGAGAGAGGGTTATGGTTTACACATGTGGCAGGCAGCAGATGGTGGCGTAACACAGAGATTTGTTGGATGGTGTTAAAAGAAGCTGATAGAGAAACTCAGCTGATGTTTGTTTGGAGGGAAATCCTCCACTGTGCAGAGGAAACAACATCTGTTTATCTCAAACAGAATGACATTTCATTACTGGGCTACAGATCTCATACTGGTGTTTGTATCAGAAGCCTGCATGGGGATTATACCAAGCAGCAGTAAGAGTATATATTTACATTTACTCATTTGGCAGACACTTACATTTGAGTAACAACATACAAGCATCAATACAGTAAGAGATTTACGATTGACAATAGGTTAGAGAGCAGAGCTGCTAGGAGGGCATTGTATACGGACATGCTGGCAGCTCTGTGGGGCCATACTTAGGCTAAATCCTAACATCATCCAACTAACATGCTCATAATGACATAACCATAGGAGACATTAAAATCTTTACGCAATAAAAAGTGATTGCCAAAGTCAGAAGGATTCATCCTCTGGGGACCATGGATATCTGTAATAAATGTAATGAAAACAGTTGTTGAAATATTTCAACAAAATCCAAAATGTGAATCTGACGATAGCACTAGAATGTCTGGACCAAATTTCATAGCATCCATCCAACAATTATTGAGATATTTTAGTCAACTGAAATCGACTGATGACTGACAGACGCCGTTAGCATAGCTAAAAAAAACAAAAGAAAAGAAAAAAAAGAAGAATTACCTACTTGAAAATGTTTAGGGCTGCACAATCATCTAAATTTGTTTTTTAAAGAATAAAAAAATATTCAAAACAATCTCACTCGTTTTCTGGAGCTTTAGATCATGACCTTTTATGTTCAGTTGTCATGGACATAAGATGTTCAGGTTAATTCTTGACCTTAGAAACAGCAGTTGAGTAAACATTTAGCAGATTTTCTGGAGCTTATGCTTACCCTTGAGGTGAAACTGATTAATCGAGTGCAGTTTCTAAGCTCAAGAATGAACTCTGCATGTGAAAACTTTATGAAAACTTTTAGATTGGCTAGATCTGATTGGCTAGAATTTGTTGGAGACGTTAAAAAGTGATCAGGAGTTGTGTGCCAAAAGATAAAGTGATTTATAGACCAGCCAGTTCTTTTCTGTGTCTATGGCCGAACTTTTGCATCAAATGCCAGTGAAAGTTCTGAAGACATTTCTAAAACCGATAAAATATAGTCCAGAGAGCTGGCAGACAAACTAAAATATGGAGAGTTGCTCAAAGTTAACCACCATGTTTTTCCATGTTTTTCTAGTGTCTCAGCCACACCTGCTGAAAAAACAGCAAATCCCAAAAGTCCTTTAAATCCCTGCCATTGGCCTCCATCCACCTGCAGCACAACACCTGCGGGTTCAGCCTGGACCCTTGGAGGAACTCAATAACATCCTACCAGAAGCTGCTGAGGACCAAGGTCTGACGTCCACCAGTTCACCGAGGTGTGATCATCTTCTGGGACCCTGGAGACTTTTGGACTTTGACTCCGCCTTGTCAGGGCCTGTTCGCAGTAACACAGATCCATCATTTACGTCTGAGTCTCGAGCTGAGGAACTGGGACGAGGCGTCGCCAGCTGGCGTCCAGTCTGGAAGTGAATCAGATGACGGATAGCCGACTACGCAGGACAGTAACATTACTTCATCTAAGACAGGAGGATGTTTTGGTCAGTACCACAGCATGGACATGAGCACAAATTATGTCAAATACATAACAGTGCAAAACAGAGACCAACAATGATACAAAGTACAACGCACCCGAGAAGCAGTTTGGGGTTCAGGGCCCTGCTCATGGCCCCCTCCGGCAGTGATCTGGGCTGTACTTGAATCGGCGACCGTCCACTCAGCCAGCTGTGCCAGGCTGCAGAAATACTGTGTTTAAATTACCTTTTTGACAAAAACCTGAACAGGCAGTTGGTTTTTGCCAGCCAATGTTAAGTGTTGGCACGTCACAACAACTTAGCCAATGCTATCGAGATATAAAAACAACCAGATGGGTCAGAGGTACAAAGACCAGCTCTAAATCAATGGCAGAAGGCTCTCTAGCCTAGCTCTTCTTCTGCAAAACAAAAAACACCTCCAGTGTGGCAGATTGAGAAGGTCACATCTTGTCAAGCTCAGACACAGGAAACAGGAATTTAGGCCCCAGCACAGAGCAGATGCAGTTTGACAACAAGCAAACCTAAATACCCAAACGGAGGTGACAAGACGAGGCACAGGTGGACTCAGTCAGGGAGAACCAACAGGGACAGGAAGCAAAGTCAGGACAAGGGGAGACACCTTCAAAATAAAATAAAATACAAAACAAAGATACAAAACCGTGACACTGCTGTTGTAAAGGTCAAGTAGGTAAAGAGATTTCTCTCTCCCTCTGTGGATTTTTCCCCCCCCGTTGTGTTTCTGGGGGGGGGGGGGGGGGGGGGCATCAGTTTCAGGATTACATTGCTTCTCTGTGGGTGTGGTGAAAAGTCTGTCACACTGGGCTTTTAAAAGATTTAATAATTTCCAAATGTATCAGGTGATGAACTTTTATTTAATCAAGTCATGAAGGTGTAATGTTGTTACTTGAAATCTTTTTTGGGGGGGAAAGAGGACGACATTAAACTCTGTGTGTAACATCAGAACCTCTCAGCTCAGCTTGACATGAATCATCAGTAAAATCGGCAGTTTGTTATTGTCTGAAGCAATTTCGCAGCCTATAGAGTTGCTTATAGGGCCCCTCAGCCACTGTGGGCCCCTGAACAAAATTAAAAGGTGAACTTATTTTGGAGTTATCAAAGATACATTTCCTAATTATGTTGTAGCACCTATAGATGGCCGACGTAAGTCCCTCCCCTTCCACCATGGGACAGTATTTCATAAAAATGATGTATGGCAGTCGACAGCGAGAGACAACTACTGTTTAGATCCCGTTTAAATTGAGCCCTGCCTCACACACATGATGTTTGTCAGTTTAAAATGTACATTTGAAAGTCAAGAAAGTCTCAATTTGTTGTAAAACCGTTGAAAATACGTAATTATAAAGACCGCAAACCCAAACCCAAGGTCAAAGAGGTTCCATGTGTCGAGGATGTGATTAAAGGACCAGGAGCCGTTGGATGTGATTAAAGGACCAGGAGCCGTTGGACTCCCACGGTTCCCAAACGCCACAGCTTCACCTTCGTTTGTGATTAACTTAACATTTGTCAGGGAAATGTTCTGCTAAAGGGGCCCTTTGAAATCTAGTTTTAACATCTGTGTTCATCAAATTAGTATGAATAAATAGACCCACGAACATCCTGGGACCAGATCCTGCAACTGACTCATCTGTATATGTGTGAGGGAAATTTATGGATGTTGGGATTCTGTGGACTTACTAATTTTGGGGATTTGGGAATGAAATGACAAAATCTGTATGTCTCTAAGCAGTAGTATCCCATGTGCTGTATTTTAATGTAAGAACTGTACAGATCAGATCCATTTTCTGTCTTTGATTGATTCAACATTTCAGAAATGATAGGTAATCGTTGCTGTGCACGCTTGTTCGTCTGGCTTAATCTCTCTCCCTTCCTGAAACGACAAAACCCCCCCTCGACCAAAAAGACTCTCGCCTCCCATGTCAGGCCATCCCCTCTGCTCATTGGCTCTGGCGCCGTCTGACAGATGATCCAATCCCAAGTCTTTAGAGGACTCGTGCCACAGAGTCAAATCCTCTTACATAAAAAAAACAGCACACAGCCAGCTGAGCAACCCACCAATGGCTGCATCCCATCCAATATGAATTGCACAATTATCCACCCCCGCCCATATTCCATGTTTGTGGATTATACGGTGACCGCTGCAGAGTATTAGAAGCATGTATTATGTGTTTGTTTTTGCCCTGTGCTGTTTTTTTTGTCGGCGGGGAGGGTTACGTAAGCCTCAGGTTGTCAACAGGCTGAGATTTTGTCGTGTTCAGGCCTGACCTGACGGCTCATCTGAAGCCTACACGAGGCTCAGAGGCCGGCCTCGCCGCCGCAGCACGCAACTCTGAAGATCTCAACGGGCAGACCCGTCCGTCTGTCTGTGACGTAGTCCAGACTCCCGGGTGAGGAGCGGCATCGCAGTCAACCTTTATGACGTCTGCCTGAAGACAAACCAGTTTTAAACTAATCTGATCAGGAGCAGTCGGACGCTGGCTTGAATAAAAACACCTGTTGTGCATAAAAGAAGACATGAATCCATTGTTGTGGTGGTTTACTGTACAGGAGGCTGTCAAATACAAACTTGTGTCTTCATCATTTATTTTGAACCGTTGCTTTGGAGCATCAAAGGTACAAAATACATTTAAAATGAATTATCATAGACTCTGTTTCTGACAACAGGAGCTAGTATTAATTTCAATGATGTAACGCAACAAATCATTAATCTGATACGAAGAGACGAGATGCTTTGTCCCAGATGTAGCTACTTTCCATCAGGTGGACACAAACACTGCGACTTCCAAACACAAACACATTTTAATCATGAGAGGGAGGAAGTTTGTTTCTTGTAATGTTTGTAATGACCTGCAGCCATCGAGGTAAAACTTCATATGATAAATTATCATGGAAACGTTCAAATATAAAGTCTCGTCTGAAGTTCGTGTTCTGTAACAGACCTGCAGTTATGTTCTCATTAGTCTGTCTTCCTTCTCTCCTTCTTCCTCTTCTTCTTTCCTTTCTTCCTTCCTTCTTCTTCCCTCTCTCTCTATTTCTTCTTCTTTCCTTTCTTCCTTCCTTCTTCTTTCCTTCCCTCTCTCCTACTTATTCCTCCTATTCTTTCCTTTCTTCCTTCCTTCTTCTTTCCTTCTCTCTCTCCTACTTATTCCTCTTCTTCTTTCCTTTCTTCCTTCCTTCTTCTTTCCTTCCCTCTCTCCTACTTATTCCTCCTATTCTTTCCTTTCTTCCTTCCTTCCTTCTTCTTTCCTTCCCTCTCTCCTACTTATTCCTCCTATTCTTTCCTTTCTTCCTTCTTTCTTCTTTCCTTCCCTCACTCCTACTTATTCCTCCTATTCTTTCCTTTCTTCCTTCCTTCTTCTTTCCTTCCCTCTCTCCTACTTATTCCTCCTATTCTTTCCTTTCTTCCTTCCTTCTTTCCTTCCCTCTCTCCTACTTATTCCTCCTATTCTTTCCTTTCTTCCTTCCTTCTTCTTTCCTTCCCTCTCTCCTACTTATTCCTCCTATTCTTTCCTTTCTTCCTTCCTTCTTCTTTCCTTCCCTCTCTCCTACTTATTCCTCCTATTCTTTCCTTTCTTCCTTCCTTCTTCTTTCCTTCCCTCTCTCCTACTTATTCCTCTTCTTTCCTTTCTTCCTTCCTTCTTATTTCCTTCCCTCTCTCCTACTTCTTCCTCCTATTCTTTCCTTTCTTCCTTCCTTCTTCTTTCCTTCCCTCTCTCCTACTTCTTCCTCCTATTCTTTCCTTTCTTCCTTCCTTCTTATTTCCTTCCCTCTCTCCTACTTCTTCTTCCTATTCTTTCCTTCCTTCATTCCTATTCTTCTCATCTTTCCTTCCTTCCCCCTTCTTTCCTTCCCTCTCTCCTACTTATTCCTCCCTTCCTTCTTTCCTTTCTTCCTTCCTCTTTTTCCTTCCTTCTTCTTTTCTTCCTCCCTTGCCCCTTCTTTCCTTCTTCTCTCCTTTCTTCCTTCCTTCTTAATTTCTTCCTATTCTTCTTCTTCTTTCCTTCCTTCCTCACATCCTTCCTCTTCTTCTTCTTCTCTCCCGCCTTCCTCTTATTCCTTCTTCTTCTTCTTTCCTTCCTTCCCTCATTTTTTCCTTCTTCTGTCCTTCCTGCCTTCCTCTTCTTCTACCAAATAAATGTGCAAATCTATGAATAAAAGATGGAAAACCAGCACGATGAGACAAAGTATAAGTTCATCCTTCTGTTAATGTATTGGCGTTCACTAATTGGGGAGCATGCTAACACGCTAACGTGGGAAACATTTACCTGCTAAGCTGACGTCATTTAGCTGAATCGTCACTTTATCCGCCTAACAGAGCTGCTGGAACGGCTTCAAACCCGGTTCCCATCCCAGAGCGTCAGATGCTTGGTCAACGCCCTGGGTTGACTTTAGTGTTGTTTTTTTGCATGTGCAAATGTCGTGCTTGAATGTTACCAGGGAATGTCTTTTAACCAGCGCATCACCAGAGTTAGCACGATGAGCGATACGAGAGAAAATACAGAGACAGATTCTTCTAACAGCGTCAAAATTCAAAGTTGAGGTTTTAACAGATGTAAGCTGTGGTAAAAACTTAATGTGAAACCTTTTTAGGCAGATTTAACAGATGTTATTTCTACATAAAGTGGTGTAGGGGATAAAAACACATTTAGTTAAAGTCTTTGGAGACTCAAACACATACTGGTGCTTTAGGACTTCCCCACCTGCCTCCCAGATTTTAAAGCGGCACTAAAACTCCTCTGCAGTCACCATGTGATGCTCTGAACTTGTGGGATTAGCAGAATATACTAATCTGCTCCCTTTCACTTTGAGAAAATGGTATTGCATAATGACAATTCCACTTTAGTGGGGTGCTAAGAGGGAAAATGAATCAAAAGAGCTGTCCATGTTTTGTACTCGTTGGGATTTAATCTGGTTAAACAGTCAGAAATCTGGACAGGGACACGCTGCTTGCTTCCTTCACCTCACGTGGTTGTTAATTCATTTCCCATGTTCAGACAACAAGAGGTGGACCTGCAGAGCATCTGTTTAAACTGAGGACATTTTTTCAGATGTGCTGGATGAGACGGACAGAAGTATTCAGAT